TGCAACAGAGTGCTTCAGAACCAACACTGTAGTATATAGCAGTCACTTTGGATGCAATATGTCCTAATGTGCCAAATATTCATTCTTTTTATAATATTGGAAGGGCCTAGTGGTACTCAGAAAGAGCTGTCACACTGCTGGATCTGCTGGTGCTGCCTGTAACTATGTAGGAAGTAAACCTTTCTGCCTTGGGAGGGTGGGAACTCAGAAGCACGATTAGGGCAGGCAGCCCACTCAAAATGGACCCTGCTGCAATCCTGATTCTGCTCACAGGAATAGAGCAGGGACATTTGCCTATGTGGGCACCGCTGCCCAATTTATTGTATTCTCAATGTCCAATTTATTGTAGTCTTAATGGAAAAGGTTTCATTAAGTTTTAAAACCAGCTTTAAAACCAGGGCCCTAATGGAGAAACAGGTCTTGGGGGAAGGGGGCAAAGTCATTTGAAAGGAGTTCAATTTGTAAAAATGAATGAATGAATGAATGAATAAATAAATAAATATCAGAGAGATAAACACAAATGACATTTAGAAATTATACAATATTCCTGCAAGGCCTGGCAATTATGTGCCAATGAATACATAAGAAATACAAATAAATGAAAACGAACAGGTGCGAAATTCCTTGTTTGACAGGGCGAGCATAGGTTTTTTCTTGTATACTTATTTTATCTTGCTCATTAGTCACTAAAGTGTACATTACCAGACAACTACTGTAAAATTAAATGAGCAAATCATTACCGCAGAGGCATCCTTTTAAGGAATCCAAGAAGGTTAAGTCCACAATTTTAACAGGTTTCACTGCTTGGTGCTTTTTTTGCTGTGGCTAAAGAGTGTGTGTCACTGGACAAATTTTCACTAAGGTTAAAAATAAAAAAAAATGCAGTTAATATATGCAAGAGCCAGCTCCACCACTGGGCAGGGTGAAGAGCATTTGAGTATTGTCAAAGGGGAGTGAAGTGTTAGTTACGTGAATTTCTGTCTCAGTACATTTCTGCTTCCTGAGATGGTACCAAGATACCTTGGGTACTATGCACCTTGGGAGAGCAGAAGAAATCTTTTCTGCTCCATCTCAGGAAGCAAAATGTCTTGGGCCAGCCCTGATGTAGGATGAATGTGCACAAACACTTGTGAACATGCACATTCACATACATAGCGCGTGCAAATAGTGTGAAAAGGAAATTTCATACATCTTGGAGAGGGCATGCACATTGACATAAAGGTTTATTTTTTTAAAAAAAATGCATTGCATTGTCAATATACATAATCTCCATGTTCATGTTTTTTGTTTTTTTCCCTTCTTAAAAAAATGATTGATTCATTAAAGGTCAGAATATATGAAAAATGTTAAAGTTGAAAGTTGAGTCTTAAGTCAGCTCATATTTATCCTCCTGAAGGAGCCTAGGACTTCTTAGTGGTCTCTGACACACAGCCAATATCTCCCTTTAAGCACAAAGAAAAGGTAAACTGAATTAGAGTAAAGAAGCTTATTTCTGAAATATGCTAAAACAAAGATAGTGATAGAAGACTCACATTTTCATGAATTCAACAGCACCCTTATAAATGCAGAGCCAACATTGTTACTGCAATTTCATAGGGGCACTGAAAGCTAGCAAGCTTCATATTAATTCCCAACTCCATCATTCCTAGCGTCTTTCAGCATTGTGCCTGTTTAGAAATGATGGCCCCAGTACAACTGAGGTCACAAGCAACTAAGTGCTTATCTGCATTAACACACACACACACACACACACACACACACACACACAGAGAGAGAGAGAGAGAGAGAGAGAGAGAGAGAGAGAGTCTCCTCTGGGCATTTCAGTGTGTCTGGGATGAGCATTGCATATGCAGATGTGCCCCTAGATGTTTGTGTTGGTTTTTTTGTGTTGGTTTGTTTTTTGCATCCTCTCCAGCTGTATGAACAGAAGCCTGCCTTTTTCACATTGTTCTGTCTTGTTGGACAGCAATTTTGAACGAGAAGGATCTATGCAACTCGGTCGATGGATAAACAGGAAGCTGCACTCAACATTTGGGGTTCCCAACTAATTGCACGTACATCAGGATCAATTTTTGAAAGTGTTTTTGTAACTCTTGAAGTTGTTCATTGGATTTCTTTCCAAACACTAGTGAAGTTAAGGGCAGACAGACATGAATTCTCACCAGGGTATGCACTGGAGTCAGATTGTCTCAGCTGTTAAACAGTCAATTGTTCTCTGCAGTTGTAGTGACTCAGTGCGATTGATTTGCAGATACGGTACATGGTTTGGATAGCACAGTGTTGTCTGTAGCCAGGTCTTCAACAAACCCACCATAAATGCTTCTTCCTGATCTAGGGTCTTTGACTTCAGGCCTGTTCTCACACTGACGTGTGTTAAGAGGGTGGGGCGAAAATAGCAAGCCTACCGCCCCTCCCCCTCCATGTCACTTGCCACTCAGTGATAGCAAAGGCCACTCCTTAACATTCACTGCTGTTGCTTGGTGGTACGCAAGAAGGAGAAGACAGAGAGGACAGCCCAGCTTGCTGTTCATGCTATCACACTTGCTGTGTCCCTAGCTTCCAGGTGCCATTCCACATCTCAAGGCAGCAAGGAACTGTTAACTGAGAATAGATTTTGTCACGTTGAAGAGTTTTAAATGTTCATAAATATTAATAAAAATATATTCATTCTGATGACACAAGATTAGACTGTGATGAAGGTGCCCTTTCAGATCAACTGATTATATAAACACACCACTCACTCTTTTTTGTGCCTTATATTCTTTCTGTGGGTTTTATTATGGCTAGGGGCTTCAAGAACTGGAATCAGCCTGTGCTACTCTGGACTTCTGAGAGGTCCTCCCTAGCACTTTGACTTATAAAAAAATGTCCAAGTTATGTTGTTCCAAAGTCTTCCATGATCCTTTCAGTTTAGAGAATCTGGCTCCATTTTATTGAAACTCCTGCCACATACATACAGTTGTATTAACCACATTTATTAACACAACAAAGCATATGCAACATGAGCCAGGAGGCAACTTTCAAAACACTGAAAGAAGTTATTGCACATCTACAGCCTAAGATTCAGGTTATCATTCTTTTAGCACTTTTATTGAAAAGCTGCAGCTTATATTAACTTTTGATACTGGTATCCACCATTTCTGTATTGACTGTGCCCATTTATGAAAACCCAGTTGGCCAACTTTGCCATTTTGAAAATATAGCCCACAAGTGTTGCAAGATGATATGTCTGTTGTTTGAAATCTGCAGAGCCTTTGACACTCTTCCAGCTTGTCTTTGGAATATGTTTTATAAAATGTTTGCTCCAGCCAGTTTTTCTCTTTCTCTTCTCTTCTCTTTCTCTTTGTTTCTCTCTCTCTCTCTTTCTTTCTTTCTCTCTGTGAGGTTCACATGTTGACTAATTTAAAGATTCCATAATAACTGTTTGGCATACCCTACAGGCAAAGGTCCAGAAACACTTTTTGCTGGCTATAACCTCAATGACAATGAATGGCACACAGTACGTGTAGTTCGAAGAGGAAAAAGTTTAAAGTTAATGGTGGATGATCAACAAGCCATGACAGGTAATAATGAATAATGGTTGCTTATTTATCAGATATCTCCATTCAGTACAGATTTGGCGATATTGGCTGTGACCCAGATTGTCCCATTTGCCTACCTGACACAACGATCAGAAGAGTCTTCGTCTGCTTCTGGTTGAACTGCACTGATCTAACAGGCCAGTGGCTTCCATGCCCTCTAATTCTGAGGATCACTGCTTACTGCTCTGATCCTAAAGAGGGCTATGGTTAAAGGTGGAAGATCTGAGGAAGGGGGGAGGGACCAGCAAGATGATAGATGATAGATAGATAGATGATAGATGATACAGATGATAGATAGATGATAGATGATAGATAGATAGATAGATAGATAGATAGATAGATAGATAGATGATAGATAGATAGATGATAGATAGATAGATGATAGATAGATAGATAGATAGATGATAGATAGATAGATAGATAGATAGATAAGAAGAAGAAGAGTTTGGATTTGATATCCCGCTTTATCACTACCTGAAGGAGTCTCAAAGTGGCTAACATTCTCCTTTCCCTTCCTCCCCCACAACAAACTCTCTGTGAGGTAAGTGGGGCTGAGAGACTTCAAAGAAGTGTGACTAGCCCAAGGTCACCCAGCAGCTGCATTTGGAGGAGTGGAGACGCGAACCCAGTTCACCAGATTACGAGTCTACCGCTCTTATCCACTACACCACACTGGCTCTCATAGATAGATAGATAGATAGATAGATGATAGATATTGATCAACAGACAAAGAGATGGTGGAGGTGGGAATGTCTGCAAGCAAGAATTTTGAGGAGGGGGTTTGCTCTGCAAACATAACATCAGCAACTATCAAGAAAGTCAATATTACATAAGCCACTTTCAGAGAGGCCAAAGATTTGATCTGTGGATTCTCATGTGTTGAAGGTGGTCTCAGTTATGTTGCAGTACAGGTAATGAAGCTACTCCACACAGTGTTGGAGTCACCATGGTAGTCTCCCTGTGCATTGCTCTGACCTTCTGGGTCAGCTTCTGCACCCACACTTCGTGACACTGTATCTCCAAACATTGTTCATCCCAGTGGGTTTTATCCAACAATGTTGCCCCATTAGCACAAGGACTTCTGCCCCAGGAACACAAATCTGCCCCAGAGTGTTGGGGTAACCACCAAAACAGATTGGGGCATGCGGGGAAGAGAGTGAAAAAGGAATCCCCATTACTTAGGTAGAAGCCTCTGCATTGAAGGGGTGATCTCATTGAATACAACCCAATGTCTTGCTTATGAATGCTCAGACTGAATGTGCACCAAAGCTCAACCCCTTTCGGTGTGAACCATGGGAAGCTATTTTTTGGTTGGCTCATGCTCATTGCCCGAGACCCTGGGAACTGAGCATCGACTCAATGCTGACTTTTCTGTTTCTGACACTAACTTCTCAAAATTCATTTTCATTCAAAGGTCAAATGGCTGGCGATCACACAAGACTTGAATTCCATAACATAGAGACGGGGATCATAACAGAGCGCCGCTACTTGTCCTCAGTCCCCTCCAACTTCATTGGACACCTGCAAAGCCTCACCTTTAACGGCATGGCATACATTGACTTGTGTAAAAATGGGGACATTGATTACTGTGAGCTCAATGCCCGCTTTGGCTTCAGGAACATCATCGCAGACCCGGTCACCTTTAAGACAAAAGCCAGCTATGTTGCCCTGGCCACATTGCAAGCTTATACCTCTATGCACCTGTTTTTCCAGTTCAAAACAACGTCGTTGGATGGGTTAATACTCTACAACAGCGGAGATGGAAATGACTTTATCGTGGTTGAGTTAGTGAAAGGGTGCGTACAAAACTCACAACACAACAATACAGATTATATTAACCATAAAAGCTGAGTGGAGCTTCCAGATTCAGGGGGCAGGGTGTTAGACTAGACTGACCTCAGGTCTGATCAAGCAAATTGACTGCTCTTATTTCCCTTAAAATCAGACAGCTACTACTACTACTACTACTACTATTATTATTATTATTACACTCTTCACCCTTAGGGCGGGGTTACTAATAATAATAATAATAATAATAATAATAATAATTTATACTACGCCTATCTGGCTGGGTTGTTAAAAACAGCTTATAATCACAGAAAAAAGGTGGTCATGAAAATACACATCTCAAGTGTCAAAAGCCAAGTGAGTTGTGCTTGACACTTGCAAAAACCCACAATAGATGGGTGTCAGCACCCAACTAACGCCTTGCCTACTTTACAAACTCAGGCTTCTTAATGGCAGAAAGAGAGCTATAGTGCTTCCCATACCTCTCTCCCAACATTTTCCCTCTCTCAACATTTAGCTAAGACCAGATCCCCTGTATATTCCCCATTCTCATCTTACTATCTCTTGCTCAAAACAAGGCCCGAGGTTGGTGGATGGGGACATATTTGTCCCCATGAACGAAACAACATTGCTCAAAAGGTTGTATGTATTCCTTCTGACCTAAAGTCAGCTGCCCAAAGTGCCGTGGCAAATTGGGCCCTTCACAACCTAGAAAAGTTGTGAATGATATTGTCTCAGAAGTCTTAAGAGGTGCAATTTCTGTGCAGTGGGCAGTAAGGAAGAAAAGAGCTCTTCTTCAATATTGCCAGGCATCATCATCCCCATCACAAAATTTATTACCTGCCCTTCAGCAGCAGACCTCAGGGCTTGTTACAATAATTTAAATATCACTATTAAAAACCCCTGTTAAAGCAAATCACAACCATAGAAATAGGAAGGGCTGCACTCCTCAAAAACTCAGGTTTATAGATTTAAGCATTTAGAAGTTACTATGACTCTCCTTCCCCAAGGAACCCTGAATCAGCTATTTCGTCAAGAGGGCTGAAACTCCAGCAATCAATTCCCTACAATCAGGAGGAAACCATGAACTAGTATAAAATGGAGGTAAAGGTAAAGGGACCCCTGACCATTAGGTCCAGTCGTGGCCGACTCTAGGGTTGCAGCGCTCATCTTGCTTTATTGGCTGAGGAAGCCGGCGTACAGCTTCCGGGTCATGTGGCTTCTGGCGAAGCAGAGCAGCACACGGAAACACCGTTTACCTTCCCACCGGAGTGGTACCTATTTATCTACTTGCACTTTGATGTGCTTTCGAACTGCTAGGTTGGCAGGAGCAGGGACTGAGCAATGGGAGCTCACCCCATCGCGGAGATTCGAACCACCAGCCTTCTGATTGGAAAGTCCTAGGCTCTGTGGTTTAACCCACAGCGCCACCCACATCCCATAAAATGGAGGGGTAGCATCAATATGGTCTTAGAGGATTGGGGGTCGGTCCACTGGGGCAAATGGGGCACTCCACCAACTGCACTTATCTATCTAGGGATGTGGGTGGTACTGTGGGCTTGCTGACTGGAAGGTCAACGGTTCGAATCCCCGTAACGGTCTTCTGCCAACCTAGCGGTTCGAAAGCACAGTGGTGCAAGTAGATAAATAGGTACCGCTGCAATGGGAAGGTAAATGGTGTTTCTGTGCAATCCAGTTTCGGTCATGGTGTCCCGTTGTGCCAGAAGCAGTTTAGTCATGCTGACCACATGATCCGGAAAGTTGTCTGTGGACAAACGCCGGCTCCCTCGGCCTGAAAGTGAGATGAGCGCCGCAACTCCATAGTCACCTTTGACTGGACTTAACTATCCAGGGGTCCTTTACCGTTTACCTTACTTATCTATCTGCACTTATCCAGCCCTACCTGCCTGCCTTTTTACTTACAACCCATCAAGGTGTATCATTGGATCTGACACAACCTACTGTTGGCCCCTGTTCCTTCTGCCCTGCCAGTCCCAATGGGCACCACCCTCCATTGTCTTACAAGATAGACAATCTGTCATTTTTTTTGTATGTTTACTTATAGGGAGTTTTGTATGGGCTGTTGTTATACCATTCCCAAACCAGCCTTATAAAAATGTTCCTGCTGTTGCAAGTTACAACTAGGAAGACATCAGCTGGCTGAAGACCTTCTGAATTTTCAAAAAGTTTAAACGAAGCGAGGCATGAGAATGAAGAGCTGTCAGTTTCATTCATTTACTTCTTCCAGGGGGAATGAAATCATTTGGCTGTTTATTTATTTATTTTTGCTCCCTGTTTTCAGGTATTTACATTACGTGTTTGATCTGGGAAATGGTGCAAATCTTATCAAGGGAAGTTCCAATAAACCCCTGAATGACAACCAGTGGCACAATGTGATGATATCGCGGGACACCAATAACCTCCACACAGTGAAGATTGACACAAAAATCACAACGCAGAGCACAGCAGGAGCAAGAAACCTAGATCTCAAAAGTAAGTGACATTGCTATTTATAGAAATAATCTGCTAGGAGGACAGGCTGCAACATTGCATTTTGATGTGCCTTGTACATTTGTAGGAAACGTAGAGAGATATGCTGTATTTATTTACTGGGCCAACTCCGGTGGCAAAACACCTGCAAACCTGTGAGCTGCAGAGCATTATTCCAAAGGCATAAGTGTTCAAAGGAAAATGGATCAGGTGTGGTTATAAATTCTGCTTTGTAGCCAGGCTGTGGGATTGATTTCTGGCAGGGGGGAACAGCTTGATATTGTATGGATCTGCTCTAGCTGCTGCAGGTAGCACAAACATCACTGTGCCAAACGGCAGCCAGTATTTGTCTCTGTTCTCTCCTCCGGGGAGACCCAAATGTGAAAATGTCACTGAATAACTGGGTCTTATCAGTTTCCCCCAGTGAACGTAGCATATTCCTCCTGGCAGAGAGCAGTCCCAAATAGACTGCAAGTTGGGGGGATATTCTGATTGGTGTGTGGTGTGTGTGTGTGTGTGTGTGTTGCCCGTTCATTTGCACAAGGAGCAAATTAGTTGCATCCTAGAAAATCTCTGTTGAGGAGACACCCGCATCTCAATGGTTACAGGCCCTGGAGTTAAGAGGGTAGATCCTGGGAGAAGTTTGAGGAGCTTATCATTTTGTATAGGCAAGAAGAAACAGTTTCACCCTAATAAGAAAGGGTGCGCACAAATGTGGGTGCCCCTGTTCAAATGATAATAATAATAATATATTTTTTATTTATATACTGGCCATGTGGCTGGGTTTTCCCAGCCACTCTAGGCGGCTCCCATCAGAATATTAAAAACACAATAAAACATCAAACATCAAAAACTTCCTTAAACAGGGCTGCCTTCAGATTTCTTCTAAAAGTCAGATAGTTGTTTATTTCCTTGACATCTGATGGGAGGGCGTTCCACAGGGTGGGCGCCACTACCGAGAAGGCCCTCTGCCTGGTTCCCTGTAACTTGGCTTCTCTCATTGAGGGAACCGCCAGAAGGCCCTCAGTGCTGGACCTCAGTGTCTAGGCTGGATGATGGGGGTGGAGACATTCCTTCAGGCATACAGGGCCAAGAAAACGCACTGATCTAATGTTCACAAGCAGGATCAAAGTGTGCCTCAGTCCTCTGTATGGCATTCCTTCCCCTCACCCCTTCCCCAAGGAAAGGTGGTGACAGTTGGCATCCTTTAGGTCCTGGGAGACAATATTGTTTCCTGCCAGGGATTACTAGACCCAGAATTCCTGGTAGGGAAAAGTTCCTTGGGAAGTGCATGCTGATGGCAAGGAGCAAGCTATTATTCAGAAGTAGTGGTTTGATTGGGAACTGGAGGTGCTTCAGAAGCTTATCAAGGATTCATCAGCAAGAAGATCGATAAAAGACAACAAGTTTCCCTGAAAGACTGCAATGCAAGTGTATTATCTGCCATCAAGCTATATTTCAGATTGCAGTCTTTCTTCCTTTACCAGCATTTGCTGATAGTTAACAAAGATTCTGAGCTCCCCGGGGACACAAGCCATTGCTAGGATATCTTTGCTGATATTTCTCGTAGCTGTGTGAGGTGGCAGAAATTTCCATGGAAATAAAAAGGAGAGTTTTTGCAAACCTCCACTCATACGGTGGGCTTGTGATGCAGTTTGTATCATGCTTTGTTAGTGTGTGGTAGATTGGATACATAGGAAATTAAGCATCCGTTGCCTTATCTTCTAACTTTGTAGTTAGAATAGCAGCATACACACACACACACACACACACAAGAGGTACCTGCTGATTTATTTTGGTGGTAGTGACGATTGTGTGATTTGCTAAAATGGTTAGGCATCCTTTCCATTACCAAAGGGGAGTTCCATCCCCAAAGTTCACTCAGCTTTACCAGTACAGTGGTACCTCGGAAGTCTAACGGAATCCATTCCAGAAGTCCGTTCGACTTCCAAAATGTTCGGAACCAAGGTGCAGCTTCTGATTGGCTGCAGGAAGCTCCTGCAGCCAATCGGAAGCTGCGGAAGCTACATCAGACGTCCGGGTTCCAAAGAACATTCACAAACCAGAACACTCACTTCTGGGTTTGTGGCATTCAGGAGCCAAAACGTTTGACTCTCAAGGTGTTCAGTATCCAAAGTCCGACTGTATTAACATTCACCACCATCAGCAAACATCTTTGGCTCTGCTACATTTTTGGAATCAGACTTGAGACGTGGTGCAATCGGTTCCATTTACAAAGTACAAAATGGCCAAGTTGCCTACTTTCAGTAGGATAGTATGTATAAAAAATAAATCCTGCCCTCATACCTTATGCCCACTGACTTCTTTCAAAAGTTTCTTTGCACAGCCTGCTTCCTGCAGTCATCATTTGATCACAGGTGTGGCTGCATGATCTGTATAGGCAGTGCTGCCATTGGGGATGTGCTTGAATGAAGAGTACATGCACATAAAGTGGCTTTATAATCAGTTAAGATCAGGCATAGGCAAACTCGGCCCTCCAGGTGTTGTTTTGAGACTACAATTCCCATCATCCCTGACCACTGGTCCTGCTAGCTAGGGATGATGGGTGTTGTAGTCCCAAAACATCTGGAGGGCTGAGTTTGCCTATGCCTGGTTAAGATCAACTGTAAGCATTGCAAGTTTCCAGGCTGGAAGCTCAATGCTGTGTGAACTCTGTGCTGCTATGAGGAAGCAATTTGTGATTTAAAAAATAAAGAAATTTCATCACTGTTTTCATGAGAATTTTTCCTAATAAACACATTTTTGTTTGCAGATTTGACTAATATACAAATTCTTGCAAGCAGGTTCCCCTAACATAATGTCTTTTTGACTGTTTTATTTTCATTAATATGTGGATTTATAGGAACAATTTACCCCAGTATATGCATTTTTCTTCCCATTATTTGGCTGGTATATATATATATATATATATATATATATGGAAAAGTGCTAACATTAAAAGATGGCTGCTTGTTTCACCTATAAATGGAAACTGAATCAAATTTATCCTCCACCCTGATCTAGCAATACTTTCTTCTTTTGCCAATCCCCTTCTGAGAACTGACCTGGATTCCAACTGCAGAAAAATCTCTCCAAAACTTGGAGGTTGTTTGCTCACCTCTACACAATTTGGTTCAGCTGAAATCCCCATGTTTCTTTTTCATTTCCAAGCGTTATACCTGACTTTACAGATACCATGCTTAGTAAAAGCACTAGAGGGCACCATTATGTCATAAAATATCCTTCCTGGTGCAGTCTCAGGGAAGAGAAGCGGGGGGGGGGGGGATCTCGCTGCAGTTCAACTCCGCTGAAATATCCAGCCTAGTTCTTTTTGTTTCCTCCACGTTCCAAATTCTGTAATAATAACCCTTCCGTGCAAAATCTTTCCCACAGGGTTTCTAACCTTGAGGCTTCTAACAAAAGCACTAAAACAAGCATATTGACATTTTAAACTAGGGAGTGGAAGTGTAAACACTTGTAGCGGTCGTCTCTCCTGACTGGCCTCGTTGAGACAGATTTGGGGGACGCAGTGCCTGTTATTTCAGATGGCATTTGAAGTTATGACCTTTGCAGGGGCAGTATTTCTTTCTTCTGTCTTACTGCGTGCAGAAACCTCTGACATAACCCAAAATGTAAGCAAGGCTCCCCTCCCACCTCCCAATTCCTCGTCTATTTTGTAGAAGGTGTTTTGTATTTATTTATTTCCATTTCCCCTTCAGATTTTTATTCTTATTCTCCTTTCCTTTGTCTGAAAAAGGCCTCTTGTAAAACATAATAATAATAATAATAATAATAATAATAATAATAATTTATTATTTGTACCCCATCTGGTTGGCTTTCCCCAGCCACTCTGGGCAGCTTCCAACAAAGATTAAAAATACAGTGGTACCTCAGGTTACATACGCTTCAGGTTACAGACTCTGCTAACCCAAAAATAGTACCTCGGGTTAAGTACTTTGCTTCAGGATGAGAACAGAAATCGCACGGCAGCGGCACTGCAGCAGTGGGAGGCCCCATTAGCTAAAGTAGTGCTTCAGGTTAAGAACAGTTTCAGGTTAGGAATGGACCTCTGGAATGAATTAAGTACATAACCAGAGGTACCACTGTACATTAAAATGTCACACATTAAAAACTTCCCTGAACACCGGGTGGTTGTTTATCTCTTTGACATCTGATGGGAGGGCGTTCCACAGGGTGGGTGCCACCACTGAGAAGGCCCTCTGCCTGGTTCCCTGTAGATTTGCTTCTCACAGTGAGGGAACCACCAGAAGGCCCTCGGCGCTGGACCTCAGCATCCAGGCAGAACGATGGGGGTGGAGACGTTTTATGTGTGCATGTGGATACATACATACTCTTCAAGTGTCCCAATTTTCCATGAATAGTCCTGGAATTCCGAAAGCCACCCCAGCTTCTGATTTGATCCTAGAATATCCCGACTTTTACCAGTGCTGCTCCCACCGAGCTCAGGGAGGAGGATGTGTCAGTAGTGGTCATCAGAGAGCATCCCGTTGCCTCTCTGTGGCCACCACTTCTGGCCTCCTTCCATGGGCAGCTTGTGGTGGCTGCTGGAAGAAGAGCTTGGATTTAATATCCCGCTTTATCATTACCCGAAGGAGTCTCAAAGCGGCTAACAATCTCCTTTCCCTTCCTCCCCCACAACAAACACTCCGTGAGGTGAGTGGGGCTGAGAGACTTCAGAGAAGTGTGACTAGCCCAAGGTCACCCAGCAGCTGCATGTGGAGGAGCGGAGACGCGAACCCGGTTCACCAGATTACAGGTCTACGGCTCTTAACCACTACACCACACTGGCTCTCACTGCTGGAGAGCAGGTGAAGAGGAGGAGGAGAGGTTTGGGCCACCAACGCCCCAGCCAGCCACCTCAGAGGAGTCTGTCTGCCTCCTCCCACTCAGGCACCCAAGCCACTGCTTTACTCCCGGTAGAGACGCATGGCTCAGGTGCGCTGCAGGCCCCGCGTTGAGTGCCGCCCGGCACTTTGTCACCCCCCCTCAGTGGTGGCACCAGGGGTGGCCCACCCTCACTGCCCCCCCTTCCTCCACTCCTGGCCCCAGCCCCACGAGATGCATCAGCTCCCTGGGAGGGAAGAAAGGGGAAGCAAAGTGGAGCACAAGGAGTCTGGAATTTGTTTATTATTATTATTATTTTTAAAAAAGCTTTGTGTGTCTATGTCCAATATTGGCCCTTTCTAAAAATATATTTATTTATTGGTGTGTGCTTTTCCTTTTGTAAATTTTCAAATTTGGTTCCCTCTGTTTCTCATTTTCCCCATCTTAAATTCAGCTATTCTCATTTCTGCAGCAATTTGCGGTTTGTTTATTTATTTTAATTAAGGGGGCGTTGCTCGGTCCCTGCTCTTGCCAACCTAGCAGTTTGAAAGCATGTCAAAGAGCAAGTAGATAAATAGGTACCGCTCCGGCGGGAAGGTAAACGGCGTTTCCGTGCGCTGCTGTGGTTCACCAGAAGTGGCTTAGTCATGCTGGCCACATGACCTGGAATCTGTACTCCGGCTCCCTCGGCCAGTAAAGCGAGATGAGCACTGCAACTCCAGATTCGGCCACGACTGGAGCTAATGGTCAGGGGTCCCTTTACCTTACCTGAAAACCCGCCAGCATTTCAGTGTGAATTTCTCCCGATGAAACACATTTTTGTTTCAATTTTGTGACCAAGGTGCCATTTTCACTAAACACATTCATTTTTATGTGCACTTTCCTCTAATTATATATGCTTTTCGGTACACATTCTTTTTTGGGGGGGCGGGGGGAGCTCCATCAAAAAAATAGGAATAGTGTGAATTTTGAAGGATACTTTTGTTCCACTTTGCATGTTGTTCTGAAAAGTGTGACGTAGGTAGATTTTCCTTTAAATGTGAACCGAAATGAATCCCCACCCCCATCCCTACATTTCTGGGATTCTGTAGCTCCATTCAGGTAATAAAAGGGCCCTCACTGATCCTACCAACTTCCATACATAGCGGGGGGTGGGGAGGTAAGTCAGTGGGAAACATAATGTATTTCTTTAGGTTTTTCTCCATTATTTGGAAATCTGTATGGTTTGCTATTGTGCAGGAAGTTTAGATCTGGCTCCCTGGTGCGAGCCTTCTCCAATGCAGGCACGCGATGACATGAACTACAATGCAGAAATTCGCCTCTCGCATGATTCGAAGCACATGGGGTCTTTAACACCTGATCAGGGCTTGCCTGTGCTCTTTCTGGTCTCATATTGTTTCACCAGGGGAAGACAGGGTATTTGCTGCCTGAAAGCTAAGAGGGAAGTGAAATAACCAACTGTGTTTGGAATAACCTCCTTCTCTCACTTGGGATATAGTACTCTAAAGCCTGCCTACACACTGTACATTTAAAGAAGATTTAAAATACATGACTTCTCCCGAAGTTCCTTTCTTGGCAACTGTACTTTGTTAAGGGTGCTGGAAATTGTAGTTCTGTAAGGGATAAACTACAGTTCCCAGGATTCTTTGGGGGAAGACTTGTGCTTTGAACGTATGGTGTGTATGCAGCCTAAATGCCCTACAAGCTTTGCATGGGAGTTTCTTTCTGCTTTCCCCTGCTTTAGACCTCCGTCAATTGCCTTTCTGGCATCAGCAGCCGCTACACCAACCCCGACTCTCCTCTCAGAACTATTTGCATGCCTAGAGACAAACACAACTCACACTAATAAGGTGGCAAAGATTAGCAGTTCTGGAAGCAAAGGGTCAAAAATGACTACGGTCATAGTAAAAAGGAAAAGGGACCCCTGACCATTAGGGCCAGTCGTGACCGACTCTGGGGTTGTGACGCTCATCTCGCTTTATTGGCCGAGGGAGCCGGCGTACAGCTTCTGGGTCATGTGGCCAGCAAGACTAAGCCGCTTCTAGCAAACCAGAGCAGCGCATGGAAATGCCGTTTACCTTCCTGCCAGAGCGGTACCTATTTATCTACTTGCACTCTGACGTGCTTTCGAACTGCTAGGTTGGCAGGAGCAGGGACCGAGCAACGGGAGCTCACCCCGTCGCAGGGATACGAACCGCTGGCCTTCTGATCAACAAGTCTTAGGCTCTGCGGTTTAACCCACAGCGCCACCCGCGTCCCTATGGTCATAGTAGTTAGGAGAAAAATAAGCGAGTAAGGGGCCCTTTAAATGCTCCTCTGGATATGTGAGAAATGAAGGGATGTCTGGTTCTGCGAGCAATGAACAGGAAAACTCACAGAGCAGGCCTTAACTCAGTGGCAGAAGATCTGCTTAGCATTCAAAAGGTCCTGAATTTAATCCCTGGCATCTCCATGAAGGACTTGGAGAATTTGCCACCTGGAACCCTGGAGAACCGCTGCCAGTCTTTGTAGACAATACTGAGCTAACTGGGCCAATGGGCTGATTCAATATGAGACTGCTTCTTATGTTCCTGTGCTTTACCCCAGACTTCAGTGCTCCCTTGTGCAATGCCTTCTCCTGTTTCATATTTCCAAGAACCTTAAAGACTGAGAGACTGAAGAAATGTGATAAAAGGAAGAAGGGGCCATGGGTTGTCTTAGAGCTATAATGGGATTGCATTGGGGAAGATGATGAGAAGGAGCAGCTGGAGTATCTGAAAGGGAAAATGGCCTGGAGGACTGGTTCGGTGGGGGTGGAGAGGGAAGATAGAGTTAAGCATGGGAGGCTAGAGAAAGGAAGAAAAAGCCAGAAGAAGGTGTAATTCAAATGGAGAGAAAGTATGGATGATAGTGCAGAAGGGTGGGGACATGTGGATGCTGTCGCCCCCCCCCCCAATACCACAAATGTGTGAGATCACTTTTCAGTAGTGAGGAAATAACCATGAAGATAATGGGAAAGGCTTTCCACTTACGGCATCCATTTCTTGCACTGTTATCTTGGTTGAAAATGGCCTCTTTCTATACTGTAGCTTAGCATTATATTCACAAGCATCCCCTCCTCTGAAAGAGATTGGAAGTTCTTGTTTTCAGTTAGTTGTGTTTTAGCATTTCACATAAATCTTAAATGGTAGTTATCCTTAACTATGTTTTATTGAAACAAACTGGTTTCATGAACCATACTTGGGCTGACTTCTTTCCAGTGCACCACGGTTAAGTCCAACCACAGTTTGTCCAGTTTTCAGACATAACGGCAAACTGTGGTTAGTCAAATATAAAAGTGAAGGCTTCTGATTTCCTCCATGCTGCTCCACTGGAGGAGGAAAGGGAACAGAGAATGCATAAGGCCTTTTTTTAGGCTAAACCATAGTTTAGAATTTCATCTGAAAGCAATCCTTTTTATTTTTCTGCATTATTTTAAGCTCTCTGGTAGTGCAAATTCATGAATACCAAACATAAATACATATGCATACTAGATTTTTTTAAAAACCCTCTCACTTTTGAGTGTTTTCAACCATTATCATTGTCGTTGTTTTTTTCAAATCATTTTTATTAAAAACAATTGTGTTACAAAACAAATAGACAAGAAGTACATATAGTGTCTCCACTTTCAATTCATAGAGTCTTTTTCACATTTCATATACATTCGGTTTGAGACACTATTGTCATAGACTTGGGGGGGGCAAAGAGAAGGGGAGAGATTCGATTTGAAATGTGTTGTACACAGGTGAGAGTGGCTGAATGTTTGTAGGCATTCTTCTGTCAACAGATCCTTGCAAGCTTATTCTGCTTTGCTCAGCTGTCCCTTACTATGTTAACCATTGATAATGAAAGAACGGATAGCATTTGGCTTCCCTCTTGTGTCACATAAGAGGGTTTTCTCGGAAGCCCAAATGATTTACCAGTGGAGCCTCCCTCCTCCTTCCATGGGGCAAAGCTGAATGATTTCAATTTTCCATTAGATTAGTTCCTATTGTTTTATATAAGTCACTCCGTATTATTTTTTACCGCGGTCTGTGTGCCTGCAGTTCCCTCTTTCAAGGTCGATAGATAAGGCTTTTCCAGGTTACTAGGACTCAAAACCTCCCTGCCAAAAGAGAGAGCAAGCTTGTTAAGTGTCAGCAAATGCACACTGGGTTAGATAAACAAGCAGCCATTACGCTTGTTGTCCATATCAACATGCACACAAGTTAATTCCAGCAACCTTGCCATAGGCTGATGAACTCACCATGTAGCAATAGCAATCTCTTGCAGAGGCAGAATTCCAATTACTGCTGTATCTCCTTTGCTAGTGAGATGTCAACCTCTATATGTCTTACCCGTGTCATCTTACTTCTTCTGTGTAAGAACAGAGGAGGTCAATGGCAGTGTCTCCCATTCCATTCATAGCCACAAGCCCTATGCAATTGTTCAGTGAATAAATGTGTGGAGGGGGCAAGTTGAGCCAGCGGACCCAGCTCCTGGTTATCATATGCACATCTGAAGCTCTGCCCCTTCCTGGATGGTGGAGAGTCTTAAAGGCGTAGTCTTCTTTGTCCTGAAGCCTAGCTTGCTAATGCCTTTCAATCACTTCCTATCAAAATGAATAGGCTCTGGGAAGTGTGAAGTCCTTGCTTTTATAGGCATCCAATTCCTTAGGGGAATTTGTCTTGAAATGGGTGCTGTCCTGATTGCAGACTTCCCTTAGGCATTTGGTTGGCAGCTGCAAGAATACAGTAGAAGGTCCTGCATTCTAGTGCATGGAACTCTTGACTCAGTTGGCTTCTGGGCAATAGTCTCAGGCTTGATGTGATGATTTGGGTTCAGCACCTCTGTGCCCTTCTTCTACCAGCTGGTTCCTCCTCCTCCTTGTGTGGCGAGTTCCCACCTCCCCCCTCGGAAATAAAGACACAAGACACCAGAATTTAGGTTAGTGGGCAAAAATAGGCCACAACTTTATTGATTACAGGAATTGAGTGGTATTGGCTTAGGCATTGGTCCTATCGACTAACCGGCTTCAGCCTGATTGCTTGAAGACCGGCAAGGGTTAACCGCCAGTAGGGGAAGTCCTGCTGATGCACGTCAACTAGGAGCTCCCCCGGGGTCACCGCTTTGGGGCGTGCCTTAGGCCCACACCTCCAGAGGCTTAGGACAGGGCAACGCCCCCCGGAATCTTTTAACGGACTACCCTTCAATTTGGGGGAAGGTGATGGCGCTTCCTCCCCCCTTCATCTGCATAACAATACCCCTACCAATGCCTAACCGCCAATGCCTAGGAAGTTGTGATGATTTGCTACGAGGTAGGCGAAAAACCAAATGACCAGTGCCAATTTGCCAAGTGGAAAAAATTCCTACCAGGCCTCTTGATGGCGACCAACCGAAGTCCATACCAATGTCAGAGAGCCAAACCTAACGGGTGGGAGGGGTCGGAAAACCTGAGCAGCTGGAGCGCGGAAAGAGGGAAATCCTCGGCCGCACCGGCCCTAAATAGGGCGGGCCACACCTCCCGGGCCAGCCAATTGGCTGGCCAGGGAGATGACGCGACTGAGGATTCCCCCAGTATCGTGGGGGCTGTGAGCCAGCCCCCGTGCACATGGGGAGGGGCGCGAAGCCCGCAACCCCACTTCCTCTCCAGCTCGGAAGTGGCTTTCTCTATGTCAGAATTCTGTCCGCTGCCCATGGTCAGGGTCATGACATACGTGCTCACTCTGACAGCTTCCAGCCCAGCATATTCATATAATGAAACAGAGCACTTAAGCAACTGTAGATGTTTTGTGTGTTCATGACTCCCTCAAACCCTTCTGCTTTAGCACATAGGGGAGAATTCAACGTGGTGCTGGGGCAATTGTTCTATCAGCACAAGCTTTTAAGCTTGCCAGATCGAATCATTCCCCTCACCTCACCCATGGACAGTTTGGGGGGTTCTCCCAATCCCCAAGCCAATTCCAGGGGGAGAGGGGGGGAAAACACTGTTCCGCTAGTGGAAGTGCTTGCCCAGGCTAGTAGACTAGTTACCTGAATCCTGCCTAGGCTGCTATTGTCTTTTCATCAAATACAGCTGATTTTTGCAGCAGCTAACAACTAAAATCCTGCACCAATGGCCAGGGGGAGGAAATATACAAACAACAGAACCATTATTTTTTTTTTGCTGTGTTTTCTTCTCCCTCAGAGATATTGATGGGCTGCCCCCCTGATAATTTATGTTCATAATTACGTAACTGGTTTGGAAGGTGAATTTGTTTAGCTTCTAAAGTTTGAATGTGTCATGAACTGAGTGCTGTTTCCCAAAACTGGGAGGCAACTATCTTCGAAGACATGCTCCCCCCCCCCCGAGTGCTCACACAGAATGCTTCTAAATATTAAGTCTTCTCTGAGTAACAACTTGGGGAGTTCACAAGGACCAATTTTTAGCATGTGGCAGGGGCTGTAAGGCCTATAGAGCTTATGAACCTAGCCTGGAAGAATGTTTCAGGAACAGATGCTTGGAGACCATGTCGTAAAGTGAGCCTTCACAGGCTGAGATATTTGTAAAATGGAAGCTTTGTAGGTTTGATTTTTGTTAAGTGTCATAATTTCATTATTGCCATAATCAGTGGGATAAACAAGACAACATATTGTTGTAGAGCATTATCCACTGAATTTATTTCAGCAGGACTCAATCATAGCCATGCTAGCTGAAGTTAAAAAGAAGGGAGAAGCTCATGTGGCAATTACTGGTCTCCCAGACTGTCTTCTCCCTGCATTGATCAGAGAAGATTCACGTACAGAAGGATATGAAAATATGGAATTTAAACTGCCCAGTAAGTGGCAGAATAGAACTGGAGAAAACAGTGCAGCAGGGCCCTAGCAGATGCTGAGGTACTGGGGAAACGTCTTTCACCATGAAGCAAAAGCAGGTCTTTACATCTCTTTGCAATAAATAAGAATTCCAGTTGTGCATTTTATGGAGGTTCAGCAATTGGCGTCAATTAAAAATGCACAGTATGAGTAAACTAGATAGGTAGGCAACATCAAGAACAATGTAAAACGCAAGAAACCAAAATGCCTGAAATTACTGTTTTTGACAGAATGCCCCTCCTGGTTGGTGCCAGCCCAGCCATTAAAATCTGTGGAGGATGTTATGTACTGAAGTTCTCACCCTGGGCCAGCAGGGGGATACTGTAGATAGTTATGCAAATGAAGGATCGAAAAGTGACGTTCAGTGATTGGATAGTTTTAGAAAATGGCAACAGTTACATTGTTCTGGAGCTCTATATAAGCAGGCTGACTGAGCTCCTCAGCTTAGTTCTGTTCCAGCTTATAAAATAAAAGCTGCTTTGGAGAAATCGCTGTGTCGTCTGCTATGTCAACCCACAACTTAACAGAGGAAGCCTTGTTTGTGTTCCCACTGCTGGGCAACGCCAGATGGGCAGTGACCCAGGTTAGGGCCTCCTTGATGGGGACACCCTCCTTGTGCTTCCACAAGGTTCTCCTTGCCTTGAGAGGAGCAGCATGCACAATCATCTATTTAATTTTGTCAACTGGTCAAGGTGCATCTCTTTACCTGGGTGTTTTCTGTTCGTTTCTTTGGACCTTTGTCGTGCAGACTAGAGGATTTTAGCCCATTGCTGCTTTGAATTATGTGATCGGTTTTGGGGGTTTGAAGCATGGGAACATGACAAGTTTCCTAATGGATCAGGCCTCTCCAGTCCAACATCCTGTTCTCACAGTGGCCAACCAGATATATAATAATAATTTATTATTTATACCCCGCCCATCTGGCTGAGTTTCCCCAGCCACTCTGGGCAGCTCCCAAGCAAATGTTAAAAACAGTACAGCGTTAAATATTAAAAACTTCCCTAAAGAGGGCTGCCTTCAGATGTCTTTTAAAGATAGGATAGCTGCTGATTTCCTTCACATCTGAAGGGAGGGTGTTCCACAGGGTGGGCGCCACTACCGAGAAGGCCCTCTGTCTGGTTCCCTGTAACCTCACTTCTTGCAATGAGGGAACCGCCAGAAGGCCCTCGGCGCTGGACCTCAGTGTCTGGGCTGAACGATGGGGGTGGAGAATTATGGGATGCTTATGGGAACCCTACAGGTAGGACCTGAGTGCCACAGAACTCTGCCCTCCTGCAGTTTCCATAAACTGTTATTCAGAAACATACTGTGGAAGGAGTGTGTTGCCGTTGTGGCTCGTGGCCACTGGTATCCTTCTCCACTATGAATGTGTCTAATCCTCTTTTAAATTTGCAATATTTGCTTTGTGTTGTTTTGTATTTATATCTTTGCTATTTTCTAATTGAGAGCGATATGTCAGTAGGAATAATGCATAAATATTAATAGAATTGTGAGCTGCAAATATTTTCCCTCCCATCGTGTATCCAGAACAGCTTATATTGTATCTTTGTGACGGATTCTAATTGCTTGAAGTTACTTTGGGTTACTATAAATATCCTAGGCATTTTTTTTTGGACAGAGTCTCCAAAAATTTAAATGAGAGCAGAGAGAAAATAAGGTTTCCCACTGACAAGAGATGCCTGAAATCTTCCGCCACCGGGGCTAGTTTGTCATTCTGCATCTTTCCTGTTCCTCCCATGTACAGTGTCTGGCATTCCATTTCTTCCATGGCAGATGGATTACCATCTTACATGGCAATCACATTATCTTTCCCCCCATTTAGCATGCACCACCAACTTCCACTCACAGTCTGTTGGACAAACAGAGTGCTCTAGTTTTAAATCTGCTTAATCTCTGTCAATACACATGCCTTCCACTTCAACTTGCTAACAAAATGTTAGAGTCAGGAAGTCATTGAGATTCCAGAGTCTCATTTCGCAAGGAAATAAATCTGTTTCTCTGGTTGTCTTCTATTTTTATACATTTTCTTGTGCCTTGGAGTCCAAGCCATTTAAGTGACAGAACATGATATGACACACAGCCAGGAGCATGGTTCAGAAGACAAATACCTCTGGGAGAAACTGCAAACCAAAGGCAATCTAGTGGGATAGAAGCACACTTCATCAGAGACCCATCCTAAGTTCATTTACCATTTAGACCTCCTCCTCTTTTCCCCTGTTAGCACCATTGCCCTTTCTGATGGGTGTCGAGGTCCTTCTGAACGTGGCAGTGTATCTCTAGATGGTGTAACTTAATCCACATATGGAAGGTCTTCCAGAAGGTGGTGAGTCACAGTGTACACAACTGTTGGAGAATTTCCAGGGCCACTTCAGAACACCAGTACAACTCATGAAGTACAGTCTTTAAAATATAGCATTCTGGAATCTGGGCTCTCATATCGTATACACCTGCCAAATCTATGATTCTTTTATTCATTCCACTTTCAAAAGCAGTTGTAGTTGGTGCCCATTGGAATCAGTGGAGTGGAAGGTGGGGAGACTAATAGTAGGCAGAGACAGATAAAACCAAAGAATTATAGTTGTGCCCTAATCCTTCTACCTGCTGAGTTCCACAACGGCAACAGAAACTAAAGAGGAAGAGGTTGATAGCCAGTTACACCTGCTTGATATAAATAAAGGTACACAGGTATTTTGGTCTGCACCTCTCATCAGTGCCAGCAAACATGGCCAATGGTCAGAGATAATGGGAGATGTAGTCCAATAACATGTGAAGAGTATTCAGGTTGGGATAGGCTGGAACAGACAGTATGCCCAAGGAATGGGAAATTTGAACCTAGGGTTTGATAACAATAAACGTGATTTCTAGTTGAGCTTATAGTTGTCTGGATCAAGGAGTGTTGGGGGGATTGTGCCAGCATGACATTATATTTTTGTTATTAATTTGGCTTGCATCCCACTCTTCTGCCAAAGAACACACGAAAAAGGCTAAGAGACAGTGGTTTGCCTAATGTCACTTCTGAGCTTTCTAACTGATCTTTGTGCCAACTGATTTTGCAACTAGGCATGGGGAGAAATTCAATTTTGTTTGCATTTTAATGAGAAACTACATAACTCACACTTCTCTGACCCATGTGTGAAGTGAAACACATTTATTTTGTGATACTGTTCTCCAACCAAATAGTGTGCACAAAATGCGTATATTTGTGAAAATAGCATACAAAAAATGCACATTGCAGGGGAAATGTGTGTATTGGTGTATACACAAAAATGCATGCATTGGTCAAAACTGCATACAAACCAAACATCAGACCAAAATACTGATGAATTTTCATCAGGATATTTGTTTTTTAAAATAAAAAAATCACAAATTTCTGCAGAAATGTAGGAAACTGAATTTAAAATCGAAAAGAATTAGAAACTGGAATTCCCTTGAGATTTGTCCATTCCTACTTGCAAGACTGTGCTATTTCTGCTTCCAGAGCTCAGGGTTGGAGCCATTTGTGCTCAATGTCCCCAGAAGGGTTTCACAATGTTCCCAGACAGAGGAGGAAAGAATAGCTGCAAGAGCAGAGTTGAAGGCAGGCTCATGGTTGGCAGGTGAGGGATCGCTAAAAGACTGTGGGATGACATTAATCCATCAGGGGAGCAGGAGCCAAGTGCAGCACTGGGACTAAAAAAGTAGTTTAACCTTCAGTCTGAATTCTGACAGACTGTCAAATTAGTAGCAGAAGATCCTGCTGCAACCTTCCTCCTCCTCATTGTGTCTATCAGGGAAATGAACCATTGCAGGCACTCGCTTCATCTTGATCACTTCTTTTGTACATGTCAGTGTGGTGGACTGGTGTACGAGGTTCCCTTGTAACATTAAAGAGTAGTGTCAGTCAAGGGGAGGGGGAGGGAAGAATCGTGCTGATGTTGGTGATAAGCAGAAAGGCGCTGCTAAATATATATTTGACGTTATGTGTAGAACGAAGCGTAGAGCAGAGTACTTTTGTCTGAAACTCTGGACTTCTCTCACATAAATGTGTCTTCCAAACCACTTTGAGTTTCTTTTCTACAATCAAGCAATATATAAATTTTATGACATAAACAGCCTGTAGCTTAACCAAGATGCATGACCTCTTATGCAGATGCAGAGGTAAGCGCTGTGCCAAAACTGGTCCTCTCATCATCTGGTTGCCATGGTGCCAGATAGCTCCTCCTTCTCACCTTTCTTTATTGCATATTGGTCACAGCTACAGTAGGAACCCAGATAGTCTGTGAAATGTAATTTCCCCCAGACAGCTTTGGGGGAAATTTCCCATGGTGTTTGCTATGTGGGTTTCTACTGTTCTAAAGGTAAAGGTAAAGGAACCCCGGACCATTAGGTCCAGTTGTGATTGACTCTAGGGTTGCGGCGCTCATCTCGCTTTATTGGCCGAGGGAGCCGGCGTACAGCTTCTGGGTCATGTGGCCAGCATGACTACGCCGCTTCTGGCGAACCAGAGCAGTGCACGGAAATGCTGTTTACCTTCCCGCTGGAGCGGTACCTATTTATCTACTTGCACTTTGACGTGCTTTCGAACTGCTAGGTTGGCAGGAGCTGGGACCAAGCAACGGGAGCTCACCCCATCCTGGGGATTCGAACCGCTGACCTTCTGATTGGCAAGTTCTAGGCTCTGTGGTTTAACCCACAGCGCCACCCGTGTCCCTTTCTACTGTTCTAGGGACCTATAAATACAAAAAGAAGGAAGCAGGGAGTTGTTGACCAACTGGCACTTCAGCAGTCAGATATGAATTGGGAGAAGGGCTGGAGTGGAAGAAAGTTAGGGGTCCTTCACTGGCTTGGATTGCAATCCAAGCCAGAGAAGAATGATGGGAGTTTGCATTAAACTGGAAGCAATCATCATAAGTTGCTAGAGTTTGTGTTCCATGCAAAGAAAGTATGACCTTGGCCAAGTCACTGTCTCTTAGCCTAACCTCATTGCTTGTGAGTTCTTTGGAGGAAGAGTAGGATCGCTTCTGAGGGTAGGACAAGAACAAATGGATTCAAATTACAAGAAAGGAAATTCCAAATAAACATTAGGAAGAGCTTTCTGACAGAAAGAGCTGTTGGACAGTAGAATGAACTGCTTCGGAAGCTAGTGGACTCTCCTTCAGTTATCGTACATCTCTAAGCAAGATTATTCACAGCATCTCAAAATGAGAAATCTAGATGTTCTTTGAGGGAATCATTTGCATGGGAGTCTTGTTTAACTGAAATTTATGGCCACCTTCCAAATTATTAACATCATCGGAACTTTGGACAGGCAATTTCATGATGTTAGCTCAGGGAAAGTAGACACGCTGCAAAGGTAGTTCACTGGGAACATTGCGTGATTGAAATTTGAGTAATGGGGCATACAGTGACTTGCGAATATGGTTAGTGTGCACTAAGAATGCTTCTAAGCCAGTTTAGTCTTAATGCCCCCCTCCTAGTTATAAAGGGGCTTTCTGGGGGTGACATCCTTATTTTACAATAATGAAGACACAGGCACATTGCTTCCCTCCGCCCCTGCATTTCTCACAGCTGGCAAAATATCTGAATGAACAGTGTTATTTCACCCTGAATAATGAGGTTTGCCTGGTGTGACATCGCGAAGGTTGTAGCCAGCAATGCAATGAGTAAAGTTATTATGATAAAGCAATCTTCGTAACCACCCACCCTCAAATATCTGCTTTATCTCGTTGGAGCACATTTGGTGTGCTGCTGGCACCAATGGAAGACAGTGACTAACTGCAGCACTTTCTTTATCAGCAATCTGAAGACCCCAGTGTTCATTTATATATATATTTTAAAAAATCTCTAAGTATTGCTTGACCCTTGAGTCTAATCTATACACAATGCTGTGGCCAGTGATTCAGAACAGAACAGAATAAATGTGTCATTGACAGGATGCTAATGTTGAACTTTGTTCCAGTATTGTTTTCATTCTTCATCTGATGGAAGGAACAATGTGTAGTGAATCATATATGTCAATCTGCTCCCATCTTTAACATGTTTGGCTTAACTCAGGGATGCAGAAATCCAGTCAATATTAAAAGGCATAAAAGCTCAATCTGTTGACCGGCTCTTGGGTTGCTTAAGAAGGCAGAAAGAAAGCCTGCCATCTCTACTGCTTTGTCAAAGGTCTGGCCACTCCCTCATTCCTTCCTTATGAAGCCTAAACTGTAACAACATAGTAAAACATTCCTACTGAATAGCTGTTTTCAAGTTCCATTGTTCTACAGGTTTTGATATAGACACAGGGCTGAACTCAGGAGGTGCAAAAGGGGTGCAAATGAAGAGCCCAATGACCAGAAAAGGGTCTGCTTCAAATGGTGTCATTGTAAGGACTCTCTACCTTCCCATTCCTATGCAGTTTAGGGAGGGGGGGGAGTTGATGGTCTGCACAGATTGGCTGAAGCAAGCCAAAAGAAATCTAAAAAATAAAATAAAAATCATTATTAAACCTGAAGTCTTATTCAAGTTGTTATTATTATTGAACTCTTATGTGAATTCTTGAACTCTTAATCACATAAATATTTGCCAAAAACTCATATGTCTGGGATTTCACCATTTCCAACTTTGAATATGGGATTTTTATTCTATTTTCAATTAGATAGTCAAAAAATGTGTGCAGGTTTTTAAAAATCCCTCCATATCAGATTCTGCATTTGAAAAGGGGGAAGGTTATACATTTAAATCCTGGGTGGTGTTGTTGTTGTTGTTGTTGCCAAACTTTGACTTTTTGCAACAACATCAACAACTGTTGATAGAGTTTTGCTGGACCTGGTGTTTCCAGGAGAACTGGAATGGGTTCCCATGTTCACTCAGTGCTCTGTGCTAAAAAAGGGCTTCCCAATTCTGCCTTTTCTCTTCCAACTTCGGAGAAGAATTCACCTGTACCATATCAATGAGTGGCCAAAGCATTCTCCACCTTTGGAGAGTGTGAGCAGCCTCTGCTTGGACGCAGTGCTGTCTGTGTGCTGGCGCTTTGAGAAATATTAGGGGTTTGTCTTTTGTGTGGTTTTGTACATTTGAGTCTGTCTATTGATCCCATTACAAGCATTTCACTGTAAACGCAGGAAGCCACCAATGAGCAAATGCAAGCAGTTTGCAAATTATCATTCCTGCATAAAGCATCTTTTATAGAACATGCTGAATGGGACAACAGTGGCACTAATTCTTTAAAAATGAAGAATAAAAAGGACAGCAAAGCAGCCGTTAAACCCATCCACCAAAATATTACGAGCCATTTGTGTATTGCTTTTTATAATGTGCCTTACAATGGCATGTCTCTGCGGGAGCGAATTATTTACATGGGGGGGGGGCGTTTAGAAGCGACAATTCTACCCCAATGCCATATTTGTTTGTGGAAAGAAAACCAACATCAGCACCTCTAATACAGACTTTGACTTTTTCTTTCTATTTGACTTAGGACTTGGGGCACATTCCCTTGTATTGATGTAAATATATATACAGCATATGTGTGTTCATGCCCTGGCTATGTGATTTCCCACAATGTATTTAGTTGTCTGAATTGGGCTAATGATAAGAACCACATCGACAGTTGCCCTAAATCGAGAAAGCAGAATTCATGTGTACAGGCTGAAACGGTGTGAATGACCACGTAGCAAGATATGATGTATTCCTTCCTGGAAACCAACAGTCTGCATGATTCAGTCTTTCTCTCCTTGCCCAAACTGTTAGTATTGTGTGCTTGGCTTGATAATTCAAGCCGTGATGTAATGGGACTCAAACAGAGTTCAGATCTGAATCAGATTGTGACATTGTTCTCTAATGACTAAATACAAGGAGGAGGGCGAACCAATTCATGTATATACGTTAGGACTGGAAAATAATTTAGAATTATTCATGTTGACCTTGGAATCAAGGATCAAAAGTGACCAGGAACTGAAGGCTGATGTTTTACAGTTTGGGGGATGAAGGGTGAAATTCACTGACAGGTTCAGAAGGGCTCACAATTAGTAGTGGTGGCTTCTCCGCTTCTTCCTTCCTTTTTTAAAACTCAAGAAGAGCCTACTGGAGGATCCTAGTGGTCAATCCACTCCAGCATCCTGTTCTCACATTGGCCAACCAGATAATAATAATAATAATAATAATAATAATAATAATAATTTATTATTATTTGGGCGGCTTCCAACAAAGATTAAAAATACATTAAAATGTCACACATTAAAAACTTCCCTGAACAGGGCTGCCTTTAGATGTCTTCTGAATGTCAGGTAGTTGTTTATCTCTTTGACATCTGATGGGAGGGCGTTCCACAGGGCAGGTGCCACTACTGAGAAGGCCCTCTGCCTGGTTCCCTGCAGCTTTGCTTCTCGCAATGAGGGAACCACCAGAAGGCCCTTGGCGCTGGATCTCAGTGTCCGGGCAGAACGATGCGGGTGGAGACGCTCCTTCAGGTATACTGGGCCGAGGCCGTTTCATGAGAAATCCACCAATAAAACCTGAGCGCAAGAGCATTCTCCCCTCTTGTGCCTCTGTTTTGTCCTGCTTACTCTCTGACAACCCAACCACCTACCCTTCATTTTCTCCTTCTGCCTTCCCATAAAAATCAAATCATGAACAAAGAACTTGCACTGAGTGGAAATACTTAATACCACACTGCAAATAACTGAGGATGTTGTATTAAATATTTCCACTTAATGCAAGTCACTTGTTCACAGTTTGAATTTTTTAATAGAAAGGAGGAAAGTGCAAAAGGAGAGAAGGAGGGTGGGGGGAGAGAAAGAAAGAGCAAGGTGAAAGAGAGAGAAAGAGGGAAAGGGAGAAAAGGTGAATAAGGAAGATGGTCTAGTTAGTTTTACCCCACCTATATAGCCAAAAAATGGTGCCAACTTGTCTACAATTTGTTCTCCTTTTATATACCCAGTTGCAGGAACTTACTAAAAAGGCAGGGGTAATGTTCCACTAGAGCCACATTGATGGCAAAACTAACACAGCTGTCTGTATTCAGCTGAGACCACTGTGTGTTTAAAGGGCTAGGATGTCACTTTGGATAGTCATGGCTTCCCCCCCCCAAAGAATTTCGGGAGCTGTGGTTTGTTAAGAGGCCCCCTACTTCCCTCACAGAGCTACGATTCCAGGGCTCTCTGTGAAAAAAGATTGATTGGTAAACCAGTCGGGGAATCCCTATCTGGACAGGGAATAAAGGTAAAAAATTAGGCCCAGTCATGACTGACTCTGGGGTTGTGGCGCTCATCTTGCTTTATTGGCCGAGGGAGCCGGCGTACAGCTTCTGGGTCATGTGGCCAGCATGACTAAGCCGCTTCTGGAGAACCAGAGCAGCGCATGGAAACGCCGTTTACCTTCGTGCCATAGCAGTCCCTGTTTATCTACTTGCACTTTGACGTGCTTTCAAACTGCTAGGTTGGCAGGAGCAGGGACCGGGCAACGGGAGCTCACCCCATTGCAGGGATTCAAACCACCGACCTTCTGATCGGCAAGTCCTAGGCTCAGTGGTTTAACCCACAGCGCCACCCGCCTCTGGACAGGGAATAGGCCTGTCTAATAACAACTCTCAGGACCTTAACGCTCAGCTCCCAGAATTATTCAGAGGAAGCCATGACTGTTTAAAGTGGAACCATAACACTTTATAAATATGGTGTGAATGTAGCCTAAGTTCTGCTCAAATTAGATCCGTTGAAATTACTGGACCTCAATCAGTCACATCTATTAATTTCAGTGAGTTTTCTCTGAGCATGACTTCCTAGGATACAACCCAAAATCTTGCAGAACTGGAAATCCAAGACTACATTTGGGTCCACTGTCCTCTAATGCTAGCAGCCCACGGGAATATTTTTTCTTGATCCTTTATTATTGGTCAAGTATTTGCTCGCTGTGTTTTGCCAACGATTTCTTGTTTTTGCTTATATCGACCTGTTTCACTTTTCTGTGTGTGGGGTTTGTATGTGTGGAAAGGCGGGTTAAAACACCTGAACATGCAACTGGGCAATCGTGGCAGCTGTGACTAACCATGCACTTTGGCTCCCCAGGTGACTTGTACATTGGAGGGGTAGCAAAAGAAACCTACAAATCCTTGCCCAAGCTGGTCCATGCGAAAGAAGGGTTTCAAGGCTGCCTGGCCTCCGTGGATCTGAATGGGCGCCTCCCGGATTTGATCTCGGATGCTCTGTTTTGCAATGGGCAGATAGAACGCGGATGCGAAGGTACGGAGCAATCGTTTTGTAATCCTGTCATAGCCCCTTCAACGTAAAGTAAATATGCATATGCCTCATCATAGGTGCGTTGTAGCATCTCCTCTTCCTGCTGTGTTCTGTTTATTTGCACTGGGATGATGACAGTTTCCTATCTTCCCCGCTGTCATCCATTTCTGCTCTGCTACCGATGCTACTAAGCCAGACCTGTTTTACATTATTAATGAAGGCGGATGCCATTGTGGGAGAAACGTTCGCTGATGGCACAAAACACAAATTGAACCTGAGAACATTAACTTATCTTCTTGAATATAATCGGCAGAGTCTGTTCTTCGCCACCAACAAGCTGATTTGCATGTCTCTGTTTTGTTTGTGTCGTATTTTAATTAATTGTTGTGATAATTAGCTCCCGTGCAGTACTTTACATCATCACGGTGCTTAGATGATAGTTAGTGTATAAATTAGCTAATTGAATTGAGATGCACATTGCTTTCTCCTTTTTTTAGCACAGGTTGTCTGTTTGCATGAGATGTTAAAGTGTTTAGCAGGGTCTCAGGCTAGGTTCAAGGTTTTTTTTAAAAAAGCTATGCTCCTGTACCTATGTTCTGTTGGCCTGTTTTGTTGCTGTATTCCTACTGCCTAACCTGCAGCATTCAAAGCGACAACTCAACCCACCAGCCACATATGTTGGCCGACCAGGAGCTTGATAAATCCCATGGCTTTGCTGTCTGCTGGTGACTACAGAGACATGGAGATTTTCCCAAACCTAGCAGGCTACGGTATGAGTTTGATGGGCTATTTGTGACTTGAAGGCTCATCAACTGCACAGGCTTTCTAAAAACATTTCAGAATAACAAAACTGGCCAAAGTTTCAAAACCTTACACTTCAGTACGAATGTAGAGCGAAGGAAGTTCTATTGATTTAAAGGGGGATTGTGTAGATGAAAGGTTCATACCCAAAGAAAAACAGAAGTGGGTTTGAATCAAGACTGGTGTTTTTCCAGTTTGGAGGGCCAGGTCACTTGTGAGGGAGAGGGTCAAATTTCCAGGGAAAGTCAAGGTGCTGTGTTGGGTTACCTTCCCTCCCTTCCACATCAGCCATGACCAAAATGGGTTGAATATCCATGACAGAGGATCCTCACTATCCCAAATTGGATTTGTGAAGTTTGCATCCCCAACATATCAGTACTCCCCTTTAACTTTTCCACATTAAAGCTTTAATTTAACGTTTGAAGGACGTAGCAGAATACATAGGAATTGGGCAATAATGTGCAATTTGGTTTCTGGTTTGAGGCCATCTTAGATTTCTCAACATAGAAACCATCCCCACATTTTAAAAATGTTTTTATTGCATTTAAATCCCCACCTTTTTCTCCAAGGAGCTCAGAGTAGTATACACAGTTCTTTTCTCACAACCGCTTTTTACGTTCATGTACCTGGCAAGGTTCAAAAGCATGATGTTGATGGGCCAGTTGAACACATGTGTTTGGCCCTTCCAAAAGATCAGTTTCCACATTTATTTCCAACATGAGGTGAGAAAAAGAGTGACATGACTCAGTCCCTCAGTTAAACCCAATTAACTAGCCATTTTGCTATCCCTGAAAAACAAGATTATTTGGATACAGGCGAAGAGTCAGAAGCAACCCAATTAATCATACCTCTGTCATATGGATTTTATTGATATAGTAGATTCAGTTTTAAATTAATGACTACTTTTCCATATATGAATCTGCCTGGACCCTGAGATCATCATACAAGGCCCTTCTCTGCATGATACCTCCAAAGGAGGTATCAATGAGAGAGCAGGCCTTCTTTGTAGTAGCCCCCAGTTTCTAGAATGTTCTCCCCTGAGAGTTCCACTTGACGCTTTGTAATAATGTTGTTTGCCGGGCAAATGCCTTTTTGTTCCTGGGGCATTTGGGCCGCACCAATAATACTGCTTATTGTATTGTTAAATTTGTAGATGTATCGGAAATATTTTGTCAGGCATATGATAAGCATTTTAAAACATATTCCTGATAAAATCTACATACTTGACACCAGCAATGTGCAGAATACTTTGTAATGCAAAGTAATTTGTGAAAACATAAAATCACAATGGCATGGCCAGTTCATGACCCACCAAGATAAAAGGATCCCCTCCCCACCTGTGTGGAAGTTCATGAGAGATTTAAGATATCACTTGATTAACTAAGCTCAAACAGATAAACCCTGAGAAAACCCAAACCAGCCTGTTCCAGATTTTCTCTCTTACGTACGCCTGTTCTTCTTTTACCCCTTTCTAATTTTAATTTGATGATTAACATTGAATAGAAAATGTGTAAATAAATGCATAAATGTACAACATCCAAACACCTAAAGGTAATTTCACTTTATTTTGCAAAGAGTCTAAATAACACTTTCTAATGTTGGTGAGAGAGGGGGCATAAGGTGTTGCACAGTTTAAGTTATTAGATCTTGGCATTAAAATAGCCAGTTAATGATGTAATGGCCAAATCCTTAAATATCACATGTTCTACTTGTCCAAGTTGTTAAAGTAATGGAATACTGGTCAGTGGCTTAGATAATCAGTCCTGTTCGCACAACCAAACTGGGATGTTGAGAACATGAGTTTAATATTTTTATCATGTGAATGGCCCTGAGATCTTCACATGAAGGGTAGTAGATTGATTGATTGATTGATTGGCCCATGGAAAGTGTGGCATACATTGAAATTAACAATATGTTACTATTTCTCTCCATGCCTAGCCCTGATCTCAGCCACTTTTACTTCCTCATCAGAAAGACCCCCAAAGCAGATTGAGTTTTGGTGTGGTAAATGGAAAGTAAGAGCAGCTTGCTTTGGGATCCGTGTGACAAAACACAGACTACCAATTGTGACTTGGACGCTGATTAAGAGGGAGAGGGGATAGCTGAGTCAGTAACCAAAGGAGCACCTGAATCTAAGACCTCCAGAAATGAGACCATAAAACAAAGACTCTCAGAGACTGGAGCGCCAATGAGAGACCAGAATCTGCAGCCTCAGTGACCCAACATGCCTAACCTGCTCACCACTGCAGGCAGTATGGCTGCTGAAGAAGCAACCAAGGGTCAGGCGCCAGGATTTGTGGTGTGCCTCTTTAAGAATATATGTGGCATCTAGGAAGGGGCTGGGGCTGGAACTATATAAGGCGTGATTAATTAGCATTAATTAGTATTCAGCATTTGTTGGAGCAAAGTTTGTCTTTACCAGGAACTGTCCAGGGTACTGAAGGAAATGACACTGGTCACTTTTGCTTTGTATTCCAGTCCTTGAGCTTTTGAATTGCCTTTTCCTGTTGGCCCTCTGCTTATACTGCCCACTTTGGATCACGGCCATGCCTATTTCTGCCTAACTTCCATTGGGGGTTTACCCTTATTAGGCTTCAACAATATGGTGGTGCCCTCACACAACTGCTATAGCATTTGCTGACCTTTGTGTAGATCCAATTAATGCACTGGTTTTCATTCACCAAGGCATGCAATTCCACCTCTCACTTATAATAAAACAAAAAACCCCCAAAACACACACACATAAACACAACTACCTAGCAACAAGAACTGATTGAGCAACCATGTTAAGGTGGTGTGGTGGTGATGCACCTCCCGTCCAGCAGGGGGCAGATGATGCTAAAGGCCAATAGTTTTACATCGGATCCTATAAAGCTGCTGACGACCCTGGCTTGGTTTCAGGCACTTAAATGCTGTGTCCACTTAGCTAATTGGATGACTTCCTGGCATACTTCCCAACCGCCAGAAATGACATTACCTAAAATTGAGCACTTGGGTATATATTGGATTGGGTTGGTAAGTGCCTTCTCATGGACCATTTCATTAAAAGTCACCCAAGGAACCTGCACGCAGGAACATGGAATAGCATCTGACTGGAAAGAGGAATGAATGAAAAATGTAACCCTTCTCTTCCGACCTTGGCCCAGTGCATTGTGGGAGCAATGCAAGTGCATCTGTGACTGAAGAGCAATAAGTGGTTCGTGATGTAAATTTCAGTCCTAATTCTGTCAATTCCCGCAGAAGGCCTAGTGAAGAGGAAGATCGAAGAAGATAATGTGCTAATGACTGAACTGACTGTGTATGAACATGACAAATGGCTAGTCAGGATTAAACCATGCATTCACTTTGCTAATGCATTCACATCTATCGTCTAGAAAGGAGTGCTTTTGATTCTCCTTCATTACATGTCATCAGCTCAATTAACCATTATATTTGTAGTAAATGCTGGCAAATTACTGCATTCTCATTTTGGCTTGCCTGGAGATTTATGTCTATTAGTATTAATTTATTTGCATTACATGGACTTTCTTTTCAATTTTAAGAGCAGCATGCACTTTTGTCTCTGAACGGTCTTTCTGTGTTTGCTGCCATTTTGATATTTGCTTACTAACATTTAATATATTTTGCTTTTTTTTATTTTGCTGGCAAAGTTGCATTGATGAAAGCTGATTTGCAAGGTAGATAGCCCTTGTGTATATTAAGCAAGACTGAAACCCATAATACGCATTGGGAGCCATCGGCCACATCTGCACTGGTGTGTGTAATGTTGCATCGGATTTTTCCACTCTTCCCCTTCCAAAAAAATAACGATGCAGGAACCTTCCTCTTACAGGATATTCTGCACAAAGGCTTTCAGTCTTGTGTCTATCTGTATAGTGATTGCTTTAGTGCTTTGATCATGCCTTTTTCTTTCAATTCTTTTCTTTATTTTCCCGCTAGTGGTCTGGTTTATGATCTCTAGAAATAGAATAGCTTTGTTTCTCACGTGTATGTCACTTTTGAGCATGCTGGTGCGTTAATTGGCGGATCCCTCCCCCCATATATATAATTATAACGTATATATATTTAATAAAATGAGAAACCCTGCATGAGATAATTTGAAGCATGTGCAAAGATACTTGCCAACATTCCTGCTAATAAATCGATACACAATATATAGATTTTTAAATAAATAAAGAAGCCAACCCAAACGTTCCTTGATTTTCTACAGGCATAGCTTTTCATCAAATCATTTCTTGGAGATGGCAGCACTTTTCCCCTCTAAGTTAATTTTTAATTTTATGATTATTATTTAGTTTTAGATTCTGTTTTCCACTGTACCTTGCAGAACGCATCATGCTGGACAGAGATAACAAAAGATGTTGCAATGAAATGAAATGTTGCAAAAGCAATGTTTATGACAACTCATTTTGCTTGAGTTAACTCTCTACTTTGGTCATATTTCTGAATGAGCTCATCTCTTTGTGCCCCTCTGTGTTAACAAACCAAAGGCCATATGCCTATTCATAAAAGGTTTTATATATATATATATAAATGCATATGGCCAATCCTGCTATTGGTTCTTTTTCTTGGTTTGCTCTTTTACATGTGAGATGTTGGCAACTACCCTATGTGATCCAATGGAAAATGCAGTCGCAATGAAAGACAAAAGCCCAAGTTTTATTTTTCTGTGTGTATTCTTGTTAGGACCCAGCACGACATGTCAAGAGGACTCGTGTGCAAACCAAGGAGTCTGCTTGCAGCAATGGGATGGGTTCAGCTGTGACTGTAGCATGACCTCTTTCAGTGGAACTCTGTGTAATGACCGTGAGTACTTTAGAGACTCTCTTTCTATCTGGCTACAAGTCTTAAAGGCTCTAAGGCATGGGGAGCAAGTGTCTGAAATGGTCCATTATTTTAACCTTATATAGTTAATTGAACTGGCAAACTCTGCAAAGATTATTTTCTAAAAAATGTTCAAAGGAAGCAGTGCGTTAGGAATTGCCCACCAGAACGTGATGTGTGGGGAGACTTCAGAAATATGATGCTGGAATTTCCATCTAATGTACATGTTTGAATATTACATGTTATGCATGTATATATATATTCACTCTCTCTTCTTTTATCTTGGACATTTTGGGGGGGGTGGAGAGAAATTCTCATCTTCTTAAGTTATATTGTAATTTTGTAACATTATATCACGAGGCTTGTAATTACTGTGAAACAGTTGACAACCCTCATTACCTTCCTGCGTCAAGCTGCTTTAGGAGACATGAAATGCTCTGTCAAGTAGTGATAACACAGGGTTTTTACTTTGCTTAAATGTCATCTGAATAAGTGCTGGTATCACTTACCGATCGCATAACCCTGCAGAGACGAGGGATCGCTTTGGGTTTTCTGGAAACGTCTGAGATGTGCCGTAGGATGATTTGACAAAAGTACCCACCTCTTCTGCACCACATGGTGAAGCTCAGTTTGTTAACCCCTGGTGGGAGAGTATCTGAATGGACCATGGTGAGAGGATCATGCTGTTGTTTTGTGATAGAGGCTTCAGGTGGAGAAAGGCTCCATATGGGAAGCTGACGGCTGTTCCCGTAAACCCAGCTTTAGTTTTTTCTTGACAATTGCAGCCATAACGATTCCATCAGTGGCCCTGTCTGTGTTGCTCAGTTCTCACAAATTTTCCCTTTCGTGTGGTATACCAATATATACAACCACATGGGGAGCTAAGGAAGTGTGAACTTGTCTGAATGTTTGAATAAGCTCATGAAAACTGATCTGCGTCATCTTTACTGAAAATTGCTCTCTTGTCTTTGTAAAGTGCAGGCATCTCTAAGTGCAGTTTAAACCCCCTTTTGCCTGAAAGGGATGATATAACAGCTCTGCCTAAAATTTATTCCCACATTATTAAGAGGAAACTGAGTGAATTGAGAAGGAGGCTTCGAAAGAAAACCACATAGGCTTCTATAGTTTTCTGTTTGGTTTGTTTGTCTTTCAAATTCACTTCATTAGCCTCTATGTTTCTGTTTTGCATTAGTCAGAGAAAATCCAGCTTGCAATTATTATTATTATTTATAAGTATGAAGAGTGATTGTTTTGTTTTTTTGTTTTGTGTTTTGCTTGGCATTTGTCTGATTGTAGAGTATATTTTATTGCAAAGTGATTTCAGGTGAGTTTCACTGGTATGACGCTGGAGCACATTTGGTGTAGCAGCTGCGATCCTTACAGATTTCTGATACGGAATTCACAAGATACCTGCTCAGAGTTAAAGTAATCCTTTTGAATTGCATATTCCACTTTAAAAATAACCTATAGAAAAAGGGGTGAGGGACCTGTGGCCCTCCAAATGTTGTTGGATTCCAGCTCCCATTGACCACAGCTAACATAGCCAATAGTCTGGGGTGATGGGAGTTGAAATTCACCAACATTTGGAGGGCCAGAGCTTCCCTGACCCTGCTGTAGAAGCAGCTTAGCATAGGTGTTAAGAACTATATTGACTTGAGCAATACTTCAGCAGCCACCAGAAATACCAGTTGTCAACCTAGCTTCTTAAGGCTGCAATCCTATGCACACATACACTAGAGTATACCCAGATGAACCCTGAGGCATTTACTTCTGCATTAAAATATTTAGGGTTGTACTGTTGGTGTGGACCTCTAATCAGCTCATGAAGCAGGTTTGGGTTCTTCTTCTTCGCTGCTTTAGCAGTGCCAACACACCATTTGGTATTTCTCAGGAGTTGAGAATTACCCTAAGGTCTCACTGCTTCATGACATTAGCATTTTGTTTTGCATCCATTACCGGTTTACCAATACGATCTTTCTCCCCAAGCGCACATGTTGTGAAATTTGTACACCAAAAACTGTAGGAAAACCCAGCAATTTCGCTGGATTGGAGTTAGTGACTTCTAGAGCATATTTCTGGGAATTAACAGGACAAAGGAGACTGGTGGTGTTTTAAGATGGAGCTCTGGTTTAAAAAGCAAACTTATTTCATAGAGAAATCCTGTGTATTTTTCAATGGATCACAAGAAACCTTGCCTGATGGCTTATCTCTGTTTACTCCCCAATAAACTGGGCTTAAGGGAGCTCATCAAACTTGCACAAATTACTGTACTCAAGTTGGTGTTTTCACTGTGTCAACCAATGTGACCTCAATTCATGGAGGCTTGGCATTTATGTCACCTCTAGCTTTCGTTTGATTCCTCCCTCTGAGATTTGGATTATTTCTGCCCTTAATTTCCATTGCAGAGAACATGAGCAAAAACTGTGAACATGAACAATGTTAATGTAATGGTTGAGAGATATCTGTGCTGAGATTACACACACGCTTATATATCTGATTCCTGCGGTGCTGCAGATTAAAAAAAAATGCTAAAAGACTGGGAGCAGTTTATGAAAGATGATAACCTACTTATTTCATGAAAATAATTATTGTAGTTAAGAAGTAGCCGCTCAGCATCCAGATTGCTGGCATTTGTCTCAAAGTGATAGTCTTTCACAAAGCCAGCATTTTGCCTGGCATAGGCCTACATGAAATAATGTGTGAGGCCAACTCAACGGTGTTTTGAATTTTGCAGTTCAGATTGACTGCCAAAATTCTGTGGCATATCAAGCTGCTGATTTGAACATTGGTTGATTCTGACAATATGACTCAATATGATCAGTTGGTCACTTTAATTTAAGAGCCCAAGTGCTTCCATAGATGCATGCTTTTCTTGTGGTCACACTGCATCATGGGCTTTGTAGTTACATTGTTTCAAGGGTTAAAATATATAAGATAATGAAAATGCTTCAGTGCTCAAAGGAGTAAGTGCAAATTGTTAAAAACTAGAACATTGAAATATTGTGCAAAGACTTGTGTGGAAACATAACATTGGTTCACATATGCATGTGAAGACTGGTTGAAAATATGGTCTCTTTTGGCATAAAATACTAGAGTCAGAATAAGACATAACCATGAAGCTAAACCCTAATGCCATGGTTGCACATCCCAGTGGCTTTTATAAGGATCTCTTTTGTTTTATGTGTTGATGGCATTTTCAGTGTGGGTTCTCCTCTTGTGGAGAGCAGACACAGCAGTGGACGAAGCTTTCGTATCTTAACAACAAGACTTGAGAATCCTTGTTTCGTGGAGGGGGCCCTGGACATTTTTATCCACCAAATTCTGCTCACCACCTATCAAAGTCCTTTGCAAAGAAAAACCACTTCAAAACACTGCTTCCTTGTGATAAAATAGTGACCGCTCCACCTTGCAAACTGCATCTGATCCAAAACATGGGACTTACTAGAAAGAGGATGGTGGTAATCGATGGAAAAAAACTCCATTCATGAACACCAGATAGCCTTCCTCCACAGAGCCCCAACAAGGCCATCATTGTAATGGTCAAAATGCACCCAGAGTGATGCAGTTTATCCTGACATCCTTGGTAACCTGCCCATGGAGACCACCTGCTGACACCAAGCCTGATCAGCATGCAACCACCTGTAAACTTGCTAACCTTGATCATTGCAAAGACCAGGCATGTCCTACTTCCCTTTCTTTGCAAGGGAAACAATGCAAGATTGTTTTGGCCTCAGATGGCACAGAGGTTGCCTTTTCTTTTCTCTGATGATAATAAGGCACTTGTAGATGCAGGGCTGCAATTTTTAGGAGGTGTGACATAATAGAAGGTGTTATATTGTTCAGTACAAAGACAACTGGTAGGGGGAAAATGTTCCGAGAACGAGGATTATATAGGAAACTCTGCAAAAAGGACACTTAATGATTACTCTTACAAATGGATGGCTGTTCTGACTTCTCTGAACTAGGGGGGGGGAAACTTTAGGAACATCCTAAGTATTAGTAACAGCAGGTTTTTTGGTAGTTTGAGCTGTTCTCCTGCCAAAGCAGCCAGCTTTTCTGTAAGCACAGGGTTGAAAAATGATCCTGACCCAAAATTAGAGCCTCTGTATCAAATGTTCCTCTCTACTCTTCCCAACGCCAAGGTTCCTAGATGTTGTTATATCCAGAAACGTAGTGTCTTATTTATACACATTCAAGATGTGTTCACATACTAAGTTCAATGAATGCACAGTCAGTGTACACAAATAGTTGGAACTATGCAAATCAGCAGCTACGCACTCTTTTACATGATCACCTGCAGATGTGCAGAAACAGCTAGTACCTGTGTCCAGTGTAATGTGTGAACAAGCCCAAAGGTTTGTCACCATGGCATGGAAAGTGATAACTGTTGTTAAAGCGGTCACTTCCTACGAAGGTTCAGTCTTGTGTGCAAGATTGTGGTGCAGCCTCTTTGCTTTCTCCTGTCGTTAGAACATCTAGGACCAAACTAGAGGAGGTATGGGAGACCTGTGGACAATATGTCTCAAAAAATGGAAGCTACTCTCCTGCGTGAAGAAGAAATGCCTAATAATAATAATAATAATAATAATAATAACTTAAGTATTTATACCCTGCCCATCTGGCTGGGTTTCCCCAGCCACTCTGGGCAGCTCCCAATCAAATATTAAAAACAAAAACATTAAAAACTTCCCTAAACAGGGCTGCCTTCAGATGTCTTCTAAAAGAAGGATAGTTGCTTATTTCCTTGACATCTGATGGGAGGGCATTCCACAGGGTGGGCACCACTACTGAGAAGGCCCTCTGCCTGGCTCCCTGTAACCTCACTTCTCACAGTGAGGGAACCAGCAGAAGACCCTCAAAGGAGGACCTCAGTGTCCGGGCTAAGTGATGGGGTAGAGATGCTCTTTCAGGTATACAGGGCCAAGGCCATTTAGGGCTTTAAAGGTCAACTTTGAACCTTTTGACTTTGAATTGTGCTTGGAAATGCCTTCCATTTGAAAAGAAAGCACTCTAGATCTCACCAAATGGGCCACATCCAGGCTAAGTTGCTTCTGCTTAGTTCCAGTGAAATTAATGGGACTGCTTCTGCCATTATGAATTTTTGCATCTAACATAGCCTGACTTCATCCCGATGTGCTTAAATTTAACTTGGTGCAAATAAGGAGTTTTGGTGGGAGTGTGTAATGCGAAGGTCTTTTCTTTGAATCCATCCTGTGGCAGATATTGCAGTGCACTGTTCTCTTGTGCATGATGAGCTTGTGGTTCGTCATACATCCAGCTCCTTTCCCCGATATGTTCCTAAAAAATGACAAGAATCTGTAGTGCACCTGACAGAACATGTCCTTGGAATTCAGTTACATAACTGCAGCCATGACTCTCACCTACTTCATATTTTCCCCTAACGAAGCCATCTGACAGAGACAGCTCCAACATATGCATGAAATCTTTGTGTGAGGAGTATCAGACTGCATCCATAGAAACTGTTGCATGTGCAGAAGCTGATTTGCCTAGCCAATTCCTCCTCTAATTGTGCATCTCACGTTGTACACCTGCTTGCGCAAGGGCATGCATCACAGAAGTGTGAGTTCTTTTATCGTCTTGGGCACATAGCCTTCTGGGGCATACACTCTGCTTTCAGTTGCCCCTTCTACATTCATTTTACAAAGCCTCTTCAGTCGTTCACCTCTCACAGTGTCAGAATAATGTGAGGGGGAGTGTGAGGTGTTGGCCATTAATGAGAACCCTCCCTCCTGCCATGCATTGGGGGCTGAATGCCTGAAGCAGGGGAGTCTCCTTTACTCATATCCTTGCACAATTTTGAATCCTGCATAATCAAGGTTCTAAGGGATGCAATGAACCCATGAGGGCAGGGGTAGCACACAGGTGGATTAGACAAAGTCATGAATGAAAGAGAGGACTATTGATGGCTGCTAGCCATGTGACACGGTCTGAGTCAAAGCCCCGGCTGAGGACATTGCGACCGGGAGCAAGATGGCAGGATGGGAGCAGGAACGAGAGTCCAGAAGTCAGGAAGCCAGGAGTCCAAGGGTCAGAGAGCTGGGAGTCAAGAAGCCAAGGGTCCAAGGGTCAGGAAGCAAGGAGTCACAAAGTTAAGGGTCTGAGAATCAGGAAGCAAGGAGTCACAAAGTCAAGGGTCCAAGGATCAAGAAGCAAGGAGTCAAGGAGCCAAACGCAGCAAGGCAGGAAACGTGTTGCTGTGGCCCAGAGCCGAAGGGAAATGCTGACCTTATATCCCTTCCTGGCTCTTGCTACCAGGTGCTGTGAGTTTCCAATCGACCTCACCTGTGCGGCCACGCCTTGCCTCTTTAGAACAAACTTAGGAAAGCCCCAGTCCTGTGAAGTCCTACTAGTCACAAGGCCTGGCTCCTGCACGCACTCCTGACACCATGGTGGCTGTGCTATACATCTACAGTTGGAGGCAGCATGGCTTCTGAATACCAGTTGCTGGAAACCACCAGACGGGAGAGTGTTCTTGTGCTCGAATCCTGCTTGTGGGCTTCACACAAGCATCCAGTTGGCCACTGAGAGAATAGGATGCTGGACTAGATGGGCCATTGGCCTGATCCAGCAGGTTCTCCTTATGCTTTTATGTGGCGGCAGAAGATCTGCAGAGAGGATTAATAAGATGACTTGCATGTACTATGCAATGCAACATGTGCCCACCATTGATTGATCAACTTCCATGGGCAGTTTCCAACTAACTCATTCCATCAGCTCAGGGACTTACATTTGTGTGATGGAATGTTCTCCCCTCATGCACTCCACACCTGCCCAAAATCTGCTCAGGAGGGTGGGGAACCAGAACAGAGTCCATTGTGCAAGTGGAAATCCTTGCGCTGACAGAACAAGTTAGTTGGCTGCCACATAGTGGGGGGAAATCCTTCATTCAGCTTGTAGATGTACAGAGCAGTCTACAGGGAAACTGCACAAACTCCCTTAAAATGAATTTTCAGGGTCAAGGCTTACCCTGGGATAGGTTAAGGAAGAATAATAAAGGAAAGAGTGCCTTTGGGTATCTCAGAACATATTTGATTCATTACTGAGCGAAGTGTAACTAGTCAACACAAATCGAGATGGGAAAGCTCTCTGATTAGAGAACCTGATCGTAGGCAGGCTTGGACTTCACATCTCTCCAGGGAACAAACCATAGCTCAGCAGCAGAATGCATGCCGTGCATTCAAAGAGACACGGGTTGAATCCCTGGCATGTTCACCAAAAGGGGGTTGTTGTTGTTGTTGTGCTGCTATTTTTTCACAAAATGTGGACTAAAGAGACGTGTGTAATGAGTGGCTAGTAGGATGTAGCAAAGACCTCTGTCAGTCAGACTAGACGATACCAAGCTGAAGAGGCAAACAGACTGAGGTGGTATAAGACAGCTTCTTGCACTCTTCTCTTAGGCATTATTTAGCTAGCATTCATTTCCATCTTTCTCTGATTGGTGTTTCTTTCAGTAATGATTTTTTTTTATTTATCAAATGATCCTACACACAGTCCCTCCCTAAGTGTTCTTGAAGGGCATTTGTGTCTGATGTGCATCTAGTCTCAGTGGAGCTTTATGATTTGTGAAGCTCCAGATTGGCAAGAATAGCTTTGCAGTAATTGTGGTGGTTTCTCAAGAGGCAGTAATTATGTAACTGGAATCGTGGGCCAGGCTTCGGAGTGAGTGCTCTATTGCACCAAACTGGTAAAAGGAAAAAGACTGTTGGAAAAAAACAAACCATTTTCTCTCCTCCTCTGCAGGGAATCATAAGAATGATTAAAGTGGACTTGGGGTCTTATTATGGTTTACTTTTTTGTTTTTAAATCATGACACGCTCAGACCTACTACACACAGAGAATGTGTGAGAAATCGAAAATAAAAATAAAAATAAGAAACCTTTCCATTACATATCTGGAGAGAATAATTTCCCAAATCTTTATGAATATTATTTTGGTGGTTCTGTCCTGATTGCATTTAGACGTTGTATGGCTTATGACATCCCAGCATGGGGGGCAGAGGGATGGTGGCCTGAGACACAAATGTCTGAGAGGGGTGAAACCAGTTCCTCTCACGATAGGCTCCCTCATCAGGGCCATGTGGCTGAGCTCCTGCCATCTTCCAAAGCTGTGGGGAAGCAAGCTGTCCCTGAGCCAGACCTTTGGGGCTGGGGTGAGTTCCTCCAACCCAGTTCTGCAGGCCACTTGGGGCACAAGCACTTGCCCTGGCCCGGGTGCCAGCCACCCACCCTATGCCACTGCCTGTAGGGATCCATTTAAGCTTAGATCTGGTGTCCTACAGGGACTGACCAGATGCCCCCAGGGAAGTGTGGCTAAGAGGTAGCAGCCCTACTTTAAAGTTGCCTTTCAGCACCTGTTTGATTGTCCATGGCAACCCTGCATCTGAGGGCCACTCTGGATGTGTGCCTTGTAGTTCACCATTGCACATCCTTTAAAAAAATAAAAAATAGAATTGCTGGCATGTTCTACAAGCTGCAAGTAGGGAGACTGCTGTTGTACCTGGGGCTTCCCATAGGCATATGGCTGGACACTGTGAGAATAGATAAGTTATTTCCCCCTTCTTTGTCATCTCCCCATCCTTTTAATTGAAAACAATTTAGTTTTTCCAAGGGAAAGTCCTCTAGGACCTTCTAAATCCTTTTGGGGGCCATTTTGGACACCTCCATTTCTGTGATAACCATTTTGCAATAAGGTGTGCAGAGTTGTACACTGCGGCCACACAGCAAAGATTTTGTTTATAAAGGTGTTCTATGATGCAGGTCACTTTATTTTCAGTCCCTTTCCTAACAAATCCTAGTATGGAATTTGCTAAAATATTTTTTTCATGCTTTTTTCACTGTCATTGCAAACCAGTAGAGAAAGCTTTTGCCATTTCTCTTTCTTGACTTGAATAACTTTCTTCTCCCCTTGTGGCAGAATAAACAACCTTAAATTCCAGGCCTGTGCTCCATACCTGCCCTTCATCGAAGTTAGTTCTATTGACATGCTTGAGATGAATATTCTGTTTGTCTCGATCTTTTGCCATTTGTCATTTCCTTGGGAATAAAAATATCACTTCTTTGCATCGTAAATTTTACTCCCTGGATCTGTTCATCTTTTACATTTTCTTTCTTTTTATTTTCTTTTTGGGGGGAAAGAGAGAGAGGGAAGAGTAGAAAAAGGAGGATGGCACATTTAATAGCCCTCTTTCTATAAATCCCTAAGGGAGAGAGGCTTTATGGCAGAAAAAATATATATTCAAAATGATAGTATCTCCATAATTGAATGTGCTACCAGGAATAATGGAGAAGCAGCAGAAGAAAAATGTTTTGGCTTTGCTCAATCAGTAGTGGTGTGGCAGATCAAACCCAGATAGTTTGCACTTCAAATTCGTAAGCAATTTTGATTTCTGTGCCAATGAATCCTAGCCATTTTGCCTACCAGTTACACAAAAGAGCTTTAAGATAGTAAGCATAATTCCATTTCTTTTTCCACCCCGCCACACCATGATTGTATCCTAAAGCCTTTCTCCTCCTGACGGCCCTGACTCACTGCTGAAACCTACTATTAGTACAGATATTTAATTTGAGCTACTTAATGTAGCTTTGCTGGGATAACCAGCCTTCTCTAAAAAAAAATAATGTTTCCTTTGCAAACTCGACAAATACACAGGGCTGAGGGACAACATTTTCAGGCAAGATTAGCCTTTCTTCCTGCAAGACATGCAGTATGTCAGACAACAGAGTGGGTGACAGAGTCTATCAATGCTTGTACCAATTACTGGAGCACAAATTCGCGGCAGCACATTTGCCTAATCTGTGTATAGCACTGTTGATCCAATTCGCCGGGAACTGGATTAAGATGCGATCTGGCGCGCACTTTCTTTCTTGTGCTCAAACCCCACTGGATTCATTTGGACTTACTTTGGAGTAGCTGTTATCCATTTGCATCCCAGGGTGGGCAAAAAAACAACCCCATAAAAATACATGCCCCGTACAATAAGTATTAAAACAATAAAGCATCATATAAAAATAAATTACAGTCATAAACAAATTCAGCAGAGCAGCAGCAACATACCAACTGTTGGCCTCCAAATAATATTTACCGTAAAAAGCCTGAAGCACAAAAACAAGCAGAACAGCAGCATCGTGGGAAGTGTTCCCTGTTCAGTTCCCCATTAATTCTGCGTCCTGTGATCAGTACTCAGGGGTGTCCAGCAGGGAGACAGCAATGGGGGTGGAGCTGCTTCCTGCGCTTGTGTTTCAGACCACAACTGGTTATTTTTCAGGAGTACTTGGGATGCCCCATACTTCATTGCATAATGCACTCTAGCATTTTCCTCTAAGATTTTGTGGCATGCAACCAATAAATAAATTTTATTTATATCCTGCCCTCCCCTGCCGAAGCCAGGCTCAGGGTGGCTAACAACAATAAAATAGTACAACATTCTAAAATCATTTCATTATAAAATTAATTCAAATCAAATTGATGGCAACCATTGGGCTAGAGTTCTGTGAAGATTGCCAAAGGAGGGAGTCAGGCTGTGCCCTGACCAAAGGCCTGGTGGAACAGCTCTGTCTTGCAGGCCCTGTGGAAAGATGTCAAGTCCTGCAAGGCCCTAGTCTCTTGTGACAGAGCGTTCCACCAGATCGGAGCCACAGCCGAAAAAGCCCTGGCTCTGGTTGAGGCCAGCCTAACCTCTCTGTGGCCTGGGACCTTCAAGATGTTTTTGTTTGAAGACCGTAAGTTCCTCTGTGGGACATACCAGGAGAGGCGGTCCCGTAGGTACGAGGGTCCTAGGCCGTATAGGGCTTTAAAGGTTAAAACCAGCACCTTAAACCTGATCCTGTACTCCACCGGGAGCCAGTGCAGCTGGTATAGCACCAGGTGAATGTGATCTCACAGCGAGGACCCCGTAAGGAGTCTCGCCGCGGCATTCTGCACCCGCTGGAGTTTCTGGGTCAGTCTCAAGGGCAGCTCCACATAGAGCGAGTTACAATAATGAAGCCTGGAGGTGACCGTCGCATGGATCACAGTGGCTAGGTCAGGGCGAGAGAGGTAAGAAGCCAACTGCTTAGCTTGGCGGAGATGAAAAAATGCCGCCTTTGTTATAGCTGCAATCTGCGCCTCCATGGAAAGGGAGGTGTCAAAGATTACACCCAAACTCTTAACGGACGGTGCTGGCACTAATTGCACCCCCGCAAGAGATGGGAGTTGAGTTCCTCCTGCTTCGCATTTCTGTGTGGAACTAATGTTTTCACCAAGGAACCCTATACACACCCTCGTGACAGTCAGGATTGACAATACTGAAGGAGATGGACCAATATCTTGACCTGGTGTAAGGAGCCTTCTTGTGTTCTCAAACCTGAGCAAGTGACCTATAAGCAAAGAGAGGTCTCCAGTGCTGCCTTAGAGGATAGCTGTCAATGTTTCCCTTTTTTAAAGGGAAATTCCCTTGTTCTGAATAGGATTCCTCGCAATAAAAGGGAAAAGTTGAGAGCTATGCCTTAGAGACATCAAAAAGCTATCATCTGCACATATCTTTCTGCATCATTTTTTTACCCCCTCGCATAGAAAGCTGCTGCCGTGACCATATTCTGCCCCTGCTTTTGTTTTCTTGTCGGTAGAAGAAGTGTATTGATTGCTTTGAGAGAAACCATATAGAAATCCCAGGCTGGGATTTCATGCTAGCCTGCTCAGGTTAGGCACCTTGCCTTCTCATGCAGGGTTCATCTAAGCTGTTGGGTTAGGCTGACCGGGCAGGGTGTGTGTGTGTGTATCTGTGTTTCTGAGCCAGTTAAAAGATACCATGGTGAAAGTTCACTCATTTGGAACGTGGGAGAAAGAGCCTGGCTTTGGATAGACTGTCCTGGGGGTGGGGGTGTGCTCTTGTGCCTTAACACTCGTTTACTTTTTTTTTCGGTGCAAGACTCCCTTGTTTTTGTATGCAGCCACCGCACATGGTTTAGTTCTCTGAGCTGGCAGGTGGCAGCCAGCCTGTAATTCTGGTCTTGATTGTCTTGCTGCCAAGGCACAAAGGGAAGCCGCAGTAATCCACTCCAGCGTTTTGTGGAGAGAGCCGCCATGTGTGCTTTTCACTCCAATGTCCCCCATAAATCTTGCGGCAGTCATAAAACTCTTAAGGAATCTTTAAAGACGTGTGCTTAAATTTCTGCGCAAGGCGTCGTAAAATTCTGTGAACGGCCGTGAACTGCACAGTCTCAAATGGCCAACCAGAAGCCAGTCGTTCCGCATAGGAAGGCCAGAGGATTCTGGCAAAAAAGGGAAACTGCCAATGGGAAACTTAATTCATCCCTTACTCATCCAGAATGGAGATCAGCCCAGTGAAAATAAATCCCCAGGTCCCATCCGGTGCTGCCCTGGACAAACATTTCATCTGATCTAACAGGGCAATCCTCATGTTCCTTTTCAGAGAAAGTGCATTCTGATTGCTATTGACACATAACAACACCCAAATAACTCTTGTTTGAAATGCATTAGAAATGTCCAGTATGGACTGATTAACTTTTAATGCCCCTGTTTTCTGAGAAGCGCTATGTGCTCTGTTTCAGTAGTGTGGGATAACCGCTGTCCATTAATATTTATGCTTTCTGGTAACAGGTTATAAAGCACCTAATCACATAAACAAATGTGTCAGCTCGGTCTGCGCCTGGAAATCTGAATTTAGTCATGGTAGTTACACTGTGAAGATTTGTGGGGGGCAAAGAGAGACTTTCAAAAAGCAAAAAACCTATTCTCCTCTTAGTGTATATGCTCACCCCATGCTTTCACAATGAACCCGAGGTTGCAAGGAGCAGACTGGAAGCAATTTCTTGATTTTTATTTTTTTTTCAAAGGCAGGGAATCATTTCTTACTTTTCTGAATGCCACTCAGCTGCAGGTAAATTAGAATTCTACAGCTTTAGGATTGCCAATTAGAGCCAATTGTAACCTGAATGGCAGGTCTTGGCATTAACATTCTTAGCAGGATCTCCCTCTCTACACCCCACGCCATTTCCACTCCACCCACCTCCATCCCCACGCCAAGGAGAGATTGTTTCCAATGCCTATGACCAAATTAGGAAGCACTGGATGCAGTGGAATATTCATTATCAAAAAAATAGAAAGAAAAGAAAGTTAATTGAAATAAATACTTGAGGCCTCAAAAAGGTATTCAAGGAGTAATGAGGAACGTTTGAACTTTTCTGTTGAAGATCTAGAGTTTCAACAGAAATCTAGGCAGCGTCCTGCAGGAGGCATGGTAGGGCAAGTCTAGTAGGGAAGTGAATACAGGTGTGGTGGCAAAACATGGACTTGCTGGTGGGAGGAAGAGGTAAGCCTTCTCAGCTTGGGGATTCGAAACAGTTGTAGTGACAGAAAGCTGAGCTCAGCTGCGCTTCCTCTCCTCCGGGATTAGAAAGTTCAAAGCTGCTCTCTGAAAACTGAGTTTTGGCTCTTAGAGTTTATAAGTGTCTGCATGACAGTGAAGAGTGGCAAATGCTGGCATTTACCTGTTGCCCATTCTATGCCACACCTGAGCTCAGGGTTGTGTCGACTGCTGAATGTTGAACATCACCGATATGTGATTCTCTGCAATTGCATATGTGTGTTCAAAAGGCAGGGACATAAATGCTGGTTTTCATATGATCGCAAATTGAATCTGGAATTGTCAATGTTCTCAAGTGAATGTCAACATTCACACCAGATTTTGACGGTTCCCTGTGTCACCTAGACCATTTAACTTCCTGTTTATTACCCACACATGTTGACAAGTCTTGATCTAGACCTGGGGTGAGGAACCTATGGTTGCCCAGACACTATAGGATTCCTTTGTCACCAGCCAGCATGACCAATGGCAGGGGATGATGGGAACATCTGGAGGGCGACAGATCCCCTACCAATAGACATAATAAATGGCTTCTTTACTAATATCCCCATGCCTGATTCAAGGTACATATTATTACCTACAAAGCCCTAAAGGGGCTTGATCCCATTGTATTTGAGGTCCCACCTCTTTATGCATGAGCCTGTGCATCAGTTCTGGTCACCTTCTGAGGAAGGTGAATTGGCAGGGTCGTGGGGCAGGGCCTTTTCGGTGGCTGCGCCCTGACTGTGGAACTCTCCCAAGGCATCTTAGACTCTCTGCTCATACCCTCGCTAGGCTTGTAAATGAAACCCTGTTAAATTATTCTGTGTGCAGAGCAACCCCAAACAGCAATGAGCTCTGTAGAAAAGCCCATCGCTGAATTGATGAGATGCTACCAACCGTCGCACAAAGCTTTCTTTTCAAAGGCACTCACATGTGACTATCCCCAGGGCACAGTATCCGTTGAACATGTTTGGAAAATTCGCCATTAAATCCCGTTCGGCTTCTCGTTGATTTGTGCACAGATCTACTGCCAGCTCCACCTATGAAGTTGTGCTAATAGTTGGCATGCTAACAGTCTGTTGGCAAGTACCAAGCTCTGTTAAGGGTGGGGAGGATTGTTAACCACTAAATGAAAGACTGTTTGAGGTTTGTTTGGTTTTTGTATCTTGGTTCTCCCCGCCCCCACATGATAAAGAGTTTCATAGTGTGGCATTTGTACTTTTTCTGCTCTCTTTAAAATTCTGTAAGCTTTGTGCTCGGCAAAATAACTGCTGTTACAGTATACTTGTTACTTTTATATAGTGTGCTTTAATGACATAAAATGGATGTCCCAGGGATAAAATTACATGCTTCGTACCATTCTGTCTTGTCTTGAGGATTTAAGCTTGGTAATCTTTCAGAAATTGATCATTAGTCGCCCATCTTTTATAATGCTGCAATTGGCAGGAAATTTGTGAAAAACAGTACTTAAAAATAAAAATAAAAAATAGAAAGATCAAAGAGTGGGTGGTGGTAGTGGGTGACACTTCTGGAGGTTTAGAGCTAACATAGTTGGAGATGAGTAAGCCATGTAAAAAAAATATAGCCAGATCCAATGCAAAGGCAGAGAAATCTCCAGGGTTCAAAAGTATCAGTTCAACATTCCTGCAAGAAAGAAAAGCACCAGAAGACACGGGGAACATGTGATTTAAGGCAGGGGCAGCCAACATGGTGCCTTCCATAATCTTTCTGAAATCCAGCTTCCATCTGACCCAGCCAGCATAGTCCAATGGTCAAGGATTGAAGGGGCCTGGACTGAAGGGGATGATACTGAGGAGGAATGGTGGAGATCTCCCCAAAGCTTCAAGAAAAGCGGAAGACAGTATTGAATCACAGCAGTGGTTTGAAGAAGGTCACAGCTCCGAGACAGGTGAACAGAAGAGTTGGGAGGTGTTGGGAGAAGATAAGGATGAGGAAGAGCCAGAGCAGCCAGCTGACAATATTATCACTGGAGAGTATTTCTGATCCCCCTTCTCCCAGAACGCGGTGTTCGTTGAGAGTGCAAGAACAAAGGACTCCGAGACAATTAGCTCCTAGTGGCCACTGTAAGGGGAAGTGCTGTTGCTAGGAAGGGAGGCCGGAGGAGCTCAGTTGGAGCAACGCCATTAAAGGGAGACTGACTGCATTCCTTTGTCTCTCGTTGTGATGATTAGCAAGAAATCTTCCTTGTTTTTCTCTGCTCTTGCTGCCACTGAGGGAGGGAGAGAATTCCCCGAGTTTGACAGGGATGATGGGAGCTATAGTCCAGAAATATCTGGAGGGCACCATGTTGTTTAGAATGCCTGTAAGAGAGGCACTGTGTGAGAGCCAAAGACAGTACAAGGTGCCTGTTTGATCTCAGTAGGCAGGGGGTTCCAAAATTCTTATAAAATTGGAACAGGTATTGTGTGGCTCATGTAGCAGTGCCAATTCTGCCGATTTAATAATAATTATTATTATTTATTATTTATACCCCGCCCATCTGGCTGGGTTTCCCCAGCCACTCTGGGCGGCTTCCAACAAAATATTAAAATACAATAGTCTGTTAAACATTAAAAGCCTCCCTAAACAGGGCTGCTTTCAGATGTCTTCTAAAAGTCTGGTAGTCGTTCTTCTCTTTGACATCTGGTGGGAGGGTGTTCCACAGGGTGGGTGCCACTACTGAGAAGGCCCTCTGCCTGGTTCCCTGTAACTTGGCTTCTCGCAGCGAGGGAACCTCCAGAAGGCCCTCGGGGCTGGACCTCAGTGTCCGGGTAGAACGATTGAAGCGGTCTGGTGGATACATGTAGGGTATCCAGCTGTGGCATGTGTATCCAACTTCTGCTGTTGCCTATATCAAACTGCTGTCTGTTCTGTTGGGGTGGAAAGAGTTGGAAGGGGTGCAAAAGCAAATAGCACGTTTATTCTCATGTGTACCCATCTGCTGCCTTCATTTCCATTCTTCCTGCCTGCTCTGACCATCCCAGGGACAAGCATGGGTTCTGCGGCCCGTGCAATGTCAAGAGTGATGGTTGCTTGGGTGGTTCACTTATGAGATCCGTGTATGACTATCATGCGCTAACGTTGTGGTGATTAGGAATCTGCTACCTTGCAGTGTTTTGCAGAAGAAGAAGAAGAAGAAGAAGAAGAAGAAGAAGAAGAAGAAGAAGAAGAAATAGAAATGTGACTGTCTCCATTTGCAGATTTTACCAGCTGCTTAAATGCAGGAGGAATTTTACCTTGTAGACATCTTGCAGCATTTGTAATATTATTAATCTCGGGTACTTTTCAGGTAACCGCGTTTTGTGCTTTTTAAATCCCATTTGGCTCGTGGGTACGCTATGCTGAGAAATGTGTCTTACCCGAAACTTAATAGCCAGGTGACATTAATCCGAAACTAGTGCTCTAGTTATAGGAAAGCTGGAGGGAGCCTTATTGCTTAGGGGACACACACACACGCACACACACACACACGCACGCACACACACAGTGTTACTCTTTGCCTTATCCTGCAAGGGTGTGTGTGGTTAAAATGGGATATGATTAAAATGCGAGTACAGTGGTACCTCGGGTTACAGATGCTTCAGTTTACAGACTCCGCTAACCCAGAAATAGTACCTCTGGTTAAGAACTTTGCTTCAGGATGGGAACAGAAATCGTGCAGCGGCAGTGCAGCAGCAGCAGGAGGCCCCATTAGCTAAAGTGGCACCTCAGGTTAAGAACAGTTTCAGGTTAAGAATGAACCTCCAGAACAAATTAAGTTCTTAACCTGAGGTACCACTGAATGTTTTCTGTTGCTTCTGTGACCCGAACCATCAAGTTCCAACTGCAAGGGTTTTTTGACCAAACATTAGGCAACACTAAGTTGTTTGAAGGTGGAACAGACTGCCTTGGAAGATGTTGGGCTCCATTTCATTAGGATGGATGAACACATTTCAGGGTTGCAGTATTTGTGGACTTCCTGATTAGCAGAGAGTTAGATGACCTATGAGCCCCCTTCCAGTTCTATGATCATGTGCTGTGTCTCCTTTTGCTCCTCAAGCTTAGGCATAAACCTTTGCTGCTTCTTTTTCTCTCCTATGAATAATGTTTATACCCAGTTCTACTTTTCGGGGGGGGGGAAGAGGTGCTGGAACTCACCATGAACGCCTCCCTTGCTCTCTTATAATGGCATTGGCGCCCACCTGAGAGGTGCTGAGTTCCAGCTTTAAAAAGCCCTGTTTACACCTACCTAAAAAGTGAAATAATTAAACTTAATTGGAAAGTATTGCTGGTTGTTGTGGACTAGCTGGACAACATCGAGTGGGGAGAGGCGCCAGCTGGGGAACCCCCCAGGGAATTTCCAGAGGTGGGAGCCTCAGAACCAGGAGGTTGGGGGTGGAACACTGAGGAGAGGTCAGAGGGATAAGATTGGGAGGAGGTGCTGAAGGGACAACAGGGTTTAGTGAGCAGGAGGAACCTGTGACAGACTCCGAGGCTGAAGCAGAGGAGGGAGGGGTCAAGAGGCTGCTGGAGAATCCAGGGAGTCTCCCACTCCTGCTGTGACAAGCTCCCCTCCCCTCTAGTCTCCAAGAATGCGCAGGATAATGAGGAGGGCAGAACAAAGAACAGAGGTGCGCAGACACAGTTTGAGACAGCTTGGGAAACCTCCAGAATATGTTGTATAACCAGTCCCTGATCCATAAGAGGGCCACTCCTCTTATTCCATGACTGCTAAGCTTACTTAGGAGTCTTTGGTGATCTACCTTGTCCAAAGAAGAACCGCCGTGGTGAACAAACCTGCCTGAAAGACAGCTTGTAAACCACTACTGAAATTCTACGTGGTGCACACCTTTGGGGTCATGTTAAATGTGTTCTGGAGCACTTGAGCGCCTTAATTTTACACAGTGTGACAGTGATGTAAGACAGGCCTAGAAATCAATTTGTATGGGCTGCTATGCAGTTTAAACTGTAGGGAAAGGCCACAACTCACAATTAGAGCACATGTTTGTATATAAAAGAACTTGTGTTAAGTTCTTAGTACATTCCAGTAGGGCAGGGGAAATCTCCTGTCTGAACCTGAACATACACTGCTGGCCAAAGTAGACAATACTGAACTAGATGGACTGATAATCTGACAATGTATAAGGCAGGCTGCTGTTTCTGGTGGGCCCTAGAATATGTCCCAGAATCCTTTTTAAGCAGGCAGGCAGGCACCATGTCTTCTGCTGGCAAGTCCAAGGGTTCCCTCAAGGCGGACAGTTTGAACCCAATTGCTCTAAAGTAAATGTTTTGGTTGCTTCAAGTAGAATAAAATTTTCATTTGTGTTTACTTCTGTAGTCATGTCTTAGCATATCCATGAGGAGATTTGAGGTGTGATCAATGAAGTTTGTAAGAGGCTCCTGGTGGATAGGAAACAATGGAGCTCAGCATCCAAGTCCCTCAACTTCTCCCCAACCCATCGTTTTCTGTGTCTGAAAAGAAGAGGCAAGGCTTGTGGGGAAACTTCTCTCCTTCCTGTATGTATGGAGGTGGCTCTCCCGAATAATTATCATGCAAAATAATGGCTTGGTCTTTAAAGACAATGCCTGAAATTCAGCTAGGAATTGGCATGATTGAGGGAAGACAACATTGCTACAAGGCACAAACAATGCTGTTGGCTCTGCTGCAGCTTTTTTGAAACATAATCCTATTTGTAGTATTATTTGGAAGGCATCCTGAATTTGTTATGTCGCCGCACATATATATTCATCCTGCTCACTTGCGGTTTAGTTAACTGATTGCCAAGGAAAGAGAGAGAAATAAAATGAAATTTAAGGTTCATTCGTTTCCTGGAATGCAAGATCAGGAGTGCAAACTGAGTGAAGTGCTAGTGGTGCTTTCGGAGAATATGGGGAAATTCCAAAAGGACAAATTCCTAACAGATTCCTAACAATTTCCAAGAGAGTCTGCATCCGAACCTGCTTTTCCATAGCACTGCTTTTAAGTTGCTGGCTTTTTACTATATCAGCTGTTGGTCTTACCATATGATGCCTCCCCTCTATCTTGATCTGCACTGTTGTATATGTTGCCATATGCCCCGAGGGCCCTGACGAGATGCACATGTGAAAAACAGGCAAAAAGCCCATAGACTGGAAACAGACTGGTGCATTCATTCCTTTATATGGTGCACCGAAGCTGTTTTGAGTGCACACAGAAGATGTAGCATTTGGAAGCATATGTACCATGCAAGCACAGTTGCTGGACAGCAAGGATTAACTGTAGTTCCAAGTCCATAGTATATTCTGGGGGCCACTTCTAATGGACTCCAGCCCTGTGGGAGCTTGATTTACACAAGAGCCATAGTGCTGTGATGGAGCACATAGATCCCCCACATAGGTCCCTGGCTCAACCCCCAGCATTTCTTGGTAGGGTTGAGAAAGACCTTGTCTGAAATCTCAGGGAGCCTCTTGGGCTCTCTATCTGTTCTTTGGGACAATCCCTAGCTATGCC